TTATCTTCATATTTCATAGTCGCCGGTATATGGCTGAAATAGTGCCGATTCGGCGTAAAACATTAATCAATCAATCAATCATATTTCATAGCCAAAACAAGTTCTTATTTTTTCTAAAGGTCCAATTACAAAATGTAATTTTTTATAAAATGGTGTGGTTATTGAAAATGTGAGAGAATTCCACCTCTGATGTTTTTGGAGGTCTATGTTTGCTCTGCTCCAGATTTATATTGTTTAAATGGACTTTGAACTTAAATACTGTTCGTTATTTCTATATTTCATGTGGTATATTCCTGTCAAGAAGTTTGTTTGTATGTTGATTAACGTCCCTCTCGAGAATTTTTCACTCATATGGAGACGCCACCACTAGCCGGTGGAGAGCTGCAAATTTTGTCCTATGCTCGGCACTTACGGCCATTGAGCAGTGAGGGATCTTTTTCGTGCCAGCACCTACTGCGACACGGGACCTCGATTTATACGGTCTCATCCGAAGGACCGGTCTCCACGTCCCACAGTGGGATTCGAACCCGCGACGTAAGGATCAACTCCTTACGCCGCGACTCTAGAGCGAACCCTCTAACCACTCCGCCACGCGGGCGACTGTCAAGAAGTGGAAAGTTTGATAATGCAAAGAAACATTTAACAGAACAAGAATCAAAAGCAATATATGGAGTTTCACGTAAGGGTATATTGCTGCATAAGTAAGGGAAGTTGACGATTGAAAAGTTAAAGTCATCACGTTTATCATAAAGTTTTGTAGTTAGATTATCATTAACCTCTTTTTGTAGTAAAATATCCAAATATGAAACAGATGTGTCAGACTCTGTGGTATCTTTTATTTCAAGCTCACTAAGATATATCGTGTCGACATATGAATGGAAATAACTATTGTTAATTGTTGTTACTTCGTAACAATGTCGAGTTGAAGGCCACATCATATGAATACAAAAATAAGTCTGCTAATAACGCAATTGGTACCCATGGGAATTCCAACAGATTGTTTGAAGACCTGATCTCCCAAAACCACATAGATATTTTCAATCAGAAACTCAAACATCTTTTAAATATCAACTTCAGAGTACTTCAATCAGAATATATCTACAAAATAATTTTGCAAATGACTAATGACAAGGTAATTAAATTTGCGAGTTCCATTTTTTTGAAAAGCAGCTCTCAATGAAAATAAGCCTGGACTGGGAAATGGTTGTAAAAAGTGTTGAAAAGTCGTAAATTTTGATGTAATTAATTTTGGTATAATTATGTGAATTTAAATTTTCAAAAAGTTTCTTGGAATATTTAAGTATCCGCATCTGATTTATATCACTTCTCGAATACATGTATATTGTTGCACAGTACTCCTGAAGTTTCTCCTTCACTGCTGATTATATTTTAGTGAGGAGTAAAGAAAGAGGCTTGGTAGAATATTTACTGGAACCCGCTATGTATCTGTGTAAGGAGTTTATGAAGTCCAATATAAATATGGTAGATCTAATTCATTTTGGTTGTTGGGAATATTACAAATTTTCAAAACTGACATATGATTTTGAAGAATTTCCTCCTTAGAAAAGGAGCTATGTGTATAAGTTGGATTACCACAAGTAGAATTAAATCCCAGTTCCTCTAAAATACAATTAAAATAATGAGCCTTACAAACAAAGACAATTTTGTTACCTGCTTTGTCAGCTGGGACCAGTACATATTGATCGAGTAGTCTATCTAATTCTTCTGAATTATTTAACACAGAAGGATAGATGGTTTTCATATTACCCCGCAATCGCTTAATGCAAGATTTTAGCATACATCTGATACATTTAATCCATTCTGACACAGTGTCAAGGTCTTCTTTTTTCATGTCTGGCCCATCACCTGGCGTAATCTTTCACGGAAATCATTATGATTATGAAATTATGATTCCAGTTGAACGATCGGGTTTCCCTACATTTTGGCCCTTTTAAAATAAGTAATTTAAGGTCCTCATTCTTAACTATGTTTACGTCACCAGTAATAACGTACGTGTCCAGCACGTGGTTCCTTTTAATAGTAAAAATGCGTCATCTGGATATTGCAATAATTTATATATTCTTCATCATTTACAACATTTCCTTTGATTGATGTACTATTTCTTATCATTATGCCTATTATTTCTGCACAAAGGAGAAAAAGATATTGGGAAATAGGATCACATTGTCTGCATCCCCTGCAAAGAATTCTGAAAAAATACAATTTTGAATAGCACATAGTTTTGCCACATTTAAAAGAGTTCTTACAGCATTCTGTAAATTTTCACTAAAATTGAAGAACATTAAAGAAAGTTAAAACTTTGAAAGTAAACTTCCAAGAGGCTGGGTCAAATGCCTTTTAAAAATCAATTAACAGAATAAATCCCGGAGTAATACTTTCATTACAATATTGAAAGACGCCATAAAGTTATCTAGAATTTTTTCCTATGTGTCTTCCTGCTAAAAAAGAACATTTTTGATTTTCATGGATTATCTCAATTAGAATGGGCTTCATGCGATCTTGAAAGACACTGGATAAAAGTTTATATGATGATTTTTTATAATATTTTTATTTGTGTGATAAAGTTTTTTCCTAATTTTTCTTTCTTTTGCTTTTTGAGATCAATAATAAAATAGTTAGACTTCTTATTTTCATTAACAGCAATCTAAAAATAAATCATTGGGAATATTTAATTAAGCATCTGGTACTGGAACATAAGAAGGCATTATGTATTTAGCAACTGTATTTTAATAAGTTCTTTATTATTTGTGTATATTCATTGTCTCTTAATAAAGAATTCTTGAATCGCCAAAAGCCTCTACCCCCTTGAATATCAGAATCAGAATTTAATTCTGAATTCAATTCTAATTATTGAATGGTCAGTTCTATCAACCTGAAAATGAAATTAACATTTTCCAAATGGACAATAATTCATTAGATATAAGGAAACGTCTAGCCTTGCTTGTTTAATAGGATTTCTACGGCTCCAAGTGAATTTTTTAGCTGTTGTTTTTTTTTTATTTTCCAAGGATCCACAAGAATAAATTTATTTTTTAGGTTTTGTATTTCTAGCATATTTTAAGGATTGTTTTCTTTGATACAATTATGACAATCTAACTGAAAATCTTGAAATAAATGTCAGTCTCCATATATAATAATAAATTCATTACCATATTAGTCTATTGTAATACCAATGTATATGTAAAACTGGACCATCTCTATTTGGCCCATTTAAATTAACCAAGGTAATAATTTATCTAATGTCTACCATCATATCTGTAATACTGAAGTTTCCATTAATATCAGATTTTATTGTAAAAATATTAACCTCTGTATTATTATTCATAAGACTTAATATTCCCCTATCATCTGTTCTTCCTGCACTCGTCATAATATCATGGTCCCACTGGGCATAAACTGGGCTTTTTAAATTCTTTGTACTATGAATATCGTGAAACAATATATGGAGGATTTTAGATTTCTAAAATGGCTAAATGACATATGGAGATAACGAACAGTAATCAAGCTCAAATGTCTTTTAAAACACAAAAAACAAGGACCTCTAAAAGCACCAGAGGTGGGATCAGGTGCCATGGAGGAGTAAGAATCCCCTGTCGACCGGTCACCCTTGCTGTGTGCTCCTTAAACTTATTTTCTATTCTTACTCTGATTTAAACCCCTACAATGTACAGAAGTTATGCTAAAATGTAACATTTACAAAAGTAAGATAATGAGTATCTACATATATTGCATATACACACCTCATACACAACATTCATACTTAAAACACAAAATGCTTCCTGTATGTGTACTCAAAAACAAAAAACAAAAAAAAAAACAAAAAAAAAAAAAAAAAAAAAAAAAAAAAAATGGGGGAAATCAGACAAGTATGTGACGCTATATATAAAGCCATCCGAGACCCGCTGGTATTTAGGTATTAGTCTATATTGACTTAAAAGATACTTTGGTCTCAAATCGAGAGAAAAAATGAGACCGTTCTACGAATATGACAAGAGAAACACTGTACAACTCCATAAAAGAAGACAGACGATAAAACCGTGAAACATATCAATCCTTTGCATTTTTAATTAAATATGATTAAGATGATTCTTGTTTGAATATTCTACCTATATATCCAATTTGATCAATAGTTTCTTTTTTGTTCTTCTACCTTGGAATTCGTCAACCTTGATGTATTCCTTTAAAAATTTATAACGCCCGCGGAATTATAAAGACAGGTGTTTACAATGATCAACATGCTTGCTTTTTTTACATATGAAATGCACGAGGTGTAATGAATAAACGACCATGCCTTATCCATATACCATCTGCACTTTATAGGTGAAAAGCTTCTTGTTCTTATAAATTTCTTAGTTTTTATGTGTAATATTGATTCCATTAATCTTGCATTGTGAATGAACATTATTCGCCATTTCAGGGAAAAAAGTAAAATAACACAAGATATTTACATGTATTTTGTATGCCTGATATGAGTTCATGTATTTGATGTCATGTATTCGATGAATAGCCATGTCTCTCTATTTAAGAAAACAATTATCATTTGTGAACAGTCATCCTTTCAATAAACCCCCTAGTATAGACGGAAGAGTTGTTTAATAAAACGGGGAAAGATGCACGGTAATACAGTTCATTGAACATTCAAAAACAGATGCGTATTAAAATCTATATGTTTAAAGGGACTTCCTACTGTGTTGTGGTCTGAAAAGCAACCCTGGGAAAGATTAACTAGAGCGAATCGTCCTTTCTGCAAAATATAATACCGATCATTTATTGTAGGGAGAAATATTGAACCTGGATTTAAAAAAAACAGTAAGTTTCCATTACAGACAGAGGATTTCAAAATGAGACCGATTTTCGAATGAAACAGTTCAAAGTCTTCCGTACTGTCAGAAACATTTTCTATAATCTACTAAACGTCAGTGTTTCCGATCTATATTCTAATGGTTTGATTTGGAATTAAAACGGAAGTGCGAAAACGAGTACCGGTACTTCTTATTCGTTACATGTGAAGTAGTTTAACATTTTTAATCATAGCCTTATCCTTAATATGGCATCCCTAAAACACTTATCGAACAGAGACACCACTAATTTTGCGAGGGTATGTCGACTTGTCAGTGTCTGTGCCGACCTATTGAGAGATGTTCTTCTTCACTTCGTTTCCGTCATGTCTTTGTATTCAGAACTTGACCGGGCGAAAGAAAAATTCATGAAAATTCTAAATCCACAACAAAAAATACTTCTTTATAAAAAGAGAAAATCATTTTTGCCTTACGATGATCTGGATATATCACTTCTATATCTAATTATACGAAATCTGTGTGATGAAAGTCTGCACACGCTTAGTAATGGACAGAAGGGGATGACCAGCCCTAAAGAAGGATGGGGAAAGGAACCCACTGAAAAAGACCGGTCTCTGGCAGCAAATATAGAAAGAATTCGTCTATTTCGAAATGATATATGTCACAGAGAGAATGCATCGATGGCAAACCCTGAATTCTCCTTCATTTGGACAAAGATGAGTAGAGTGGTTGAGGAAATTGAAAAAGAGCTGGGAAATAAAGTTAATCCTACTAAACACATAGATCTATTGAAGACAATAAGAAGCATATCAATGGACCCTGAGGAAGCCCAGAAATATATAAAAGAATTGGAAAAAATGAAAGAAGAAAAGGAAGGACTAGAAGAGAGACTGAATCTGAAAATAGAGGAATTAAAGAAGGAAATCGTAAATAAGGATCTAGCTAGAATCATCAAAAATCCAGGTCTGTTTGACATATTTCTAAAGCCAATATCATCGTATATTATCACAAAGCAAATTTTTAAGTAAGATACTAGTAGTTGTTCAGTTTTGGTATGGATGGTTTTTTATATCTTCTGTTCTCCAGTAACATATGTGCGTGACAATTGTGTAATTCTAAATAATTCGTAACAGCCTAAGTTAAATGTGAAGAAAATGAACAATAATCATGTTAATAAAGCCAATAAAACAATACAAATTGTGAGCAGAGGAAACACGGACCCCTGAAAACATCAGAGGCGAGAAGAGGGCCATGGAAAAGTAAGAATCCCCTGTCGACCGGTCACAACGCAGTGTGTCTTTGTCATGATCAGTTTAATGGAGAAATCCGTAGTCAATTCAGTATAAAAATAATGACCTAGAACTTGCTCTTGTGTATCGAATCAACTGAGAGGTTTAAACCCATATGCTAGTAATGAGGTTAAAATGGTATTTTGCTACACAAATAAGGGAAGTTCAAAGTAGAAAATTAGAAAAATCACGTTAAACATGAAATTTAGTTATAAGTTTATCATAATTCCATCCTCTATAGAATATTCAAACATGAAGCAGATGTATCGGACTTTGTTGTGTCTTTTATGTCGAGTTCAATGGGATATAGGGAATCAACGTAGGAATGAAAATAAGTATTGTTAATTTATAAAACGTCATTGTTATTTAAATTGAATTCCACATCCAGAGACTTCTTCTTTTCAAGTAGAAGTTTTAAATACAATCTGCTTCGTAAGAATACAAAACAAATTTGATAATAATAGGGCGCAATTAGTACCAATGGGAATTCTTCAAGATTGTTGGAAAACCTGGTCTCCAAAAACTTCATAGATATTGTCAATGATGAACTCAAACATTCTTTTTATATGGAACTTCAGAGTACATGTGCGTAGAATCAGAGTGGTTTTTAACGAAGTAAGTGGTTGCTTCATGAACCATACTGTTTTTGGTCTTCCACTGTCACCCGAGAGGATGTACCCTAGAAGTCTGCAAATAAAAATCCCATCTACTGGAAGATACTTTGTACCAAGCTTGGTTAAAAACAACTTAGCTATTATGAATAAGATTCATTTAAAAAAAAAACTGCAATCAACGTTATCCCTGCAAAAATAGTCCAAGAATTAAACAAATAAGAAAAAATTAATCTTTATTTGTATCTCGGGAGGTTTGAACTAGTCTGTTGACATAGGATGACACTGACAGAATTATGACTTTCGATAACTGCCAACAAATAACTTAACTGTATGCCAAATGGGATTACTTCAGCTTTTGCACGTTAACATCCCTTATTAATGTAGTAATATTCCACTATCACTAGAATATCGTGTTAATGTCTCCCAACCGATTCGATATGTTAAAGCATGCACTGTGTTTGATCAAATTTTAGACCAAGACAGGCTACTAGCAAATAAGTTGATTTTAAAAGGATTTCAACAACCTCGATTAAAGTCAGCATTTTGCAGGTTCAATGATCGTAATAATGACCTTATTTGCGAATACAATATAGTATTTCTAAATAAAAAGTAGAGATTTTTTTTTTATTAATTATGTTCATAGACAATAAAATTTAATTTTTCAGACACAAAAAAAGAGAAGCAGATTGGTAAGTGTCACAAGTATGTGTATTTCTATGTATATTAAGATTATTCAACTGAGATAATAACAAACTTCAACAGATATTTTATTCTTTAGCCAGGACTGATGCTTTTTTAGAGATGGAGCTCCAACGTTTGGAAGAATATTTTGTAAAAACAAGAGCGTTTTCAAGCGTAATGAATACACTTCAGAAGCTTGGATATGTTGTAGTCAAAGGCAATCCTGGTGATGGGAAAACTTCAATATCACTTTTCATAATGAAAAGGTTAAAAGAAATAGGGAAAATACCAATTCAAATTCGTACACCCTCTGGTTGGGATGAATTTGTTTCACCGAGAGAAAATTTGGTTATTTTTATAGACAACATTTTCGGTGAATTATCTGTATCACAAACTGACTTCACACAATGGTCAAACAGGTTTTTAGAAATGAAAGCTTCCGTAGGTTCTGATATAGAGGGATCAGACAATGTTATGATCATCACCATTAGAAACGATATTCATGAAGAATGTTGCCTATCACTGAAAGATGATGTTTTCTTCCAAACTGCCACAGTTGACATATCAGACAGATATAATAAGTTGTCAACGGTGGAAATGACAATGTTTCTCGAAAAATATATCCCAAAAATGAATAACCAGTCTATTATAATCGACTCTGAAAAATTCTTTTCTGATGTCCCAAACCTTGGATTTCCGCAATGTTGTCGACTTTTCAAAGATAATGATTTCCTACAGAAAGGAGGTTTATCGTCATTTTTCCAAAATCCACTGTATTTCTTGAAAGATGGATTTCGAAAATACATACAAAATAAAGAAACAAAGATGGCGGTGTTAGTATTTATTTTAATGCAAGGGGGGAAAGTTGAGAAGAATACGTTGGAAAAATCTACCTTTAAATCGAAAACTTTGAAAATAAAAGCAATGGAAATGTGTGAAGTACAGCCAAGTCTTATTGATTTTCATATATCAATCAGATCGTTCCTTGGAAGTTTTCTTGTGCTTGATAATGCAGATGGATGTTACAGATTTTCTCACAGCTCTGTACAGAGTAGTTTGTTTCTTGTACTTGGTGAAATTTGCGAAATGGATGATCTGATATGCAGCTGTGATTATATTTTGTTAAAACATCTCACTTCAAGCAATTGTCCAATTAGTAAAATGGATACTTTGTTGATAACAAGCGAACATTTTAAGTGTGTGGCTGAAAAAATAATATCACTCATCGAAACACGTATTCCAACCGTTTTCGCCTCCCTTGCTGAACTTATTTTGTGGCAAGATGAAATTTTTTTCAAAGAATTTTTGGATATCAATGAAAGAGAAAAGGGTAAATTTCTCTGTCAGGTAGATGAGGAAAGTAATTCTATGATGGTTCATTTTGCAGCAGCAGGAAATGAGAAATGGGTTAAATTTATCTTTGAAAAGGTGAAGGAAAAATCGTTTACTGAACAACACTATCTATCTTTAAATGCAGCTTGTGAATGTAACCATATAAATATTGTTGAATTATTACTTAACGTCAACGTTAAACCCGACATTAAAAGTTGCTTCCATGCAGTTCGAAGTGGAAGAATTGAAGCAGTAAATTTATTAGTGGCTCGGGGTGTCGATCTGAGAGATCGCACATACTCCCTTACACATCACTGGCGAAACAAACCGGACACAATATCTGTGCTGGATGAAGCTTGTCTCACTGGTCAAAATCATCTTGTACTAAATTTACTGGATATTTGTCCAGATCTTCTTTACACAAAAAACGAAAGAGGGGAATTCAGCTTATTATTTGTTGCATATGCAGGAGCCACAGAAACTTTGCAGATTTTGATTGAAAAGGGTTTGAATCCATATGAAAGATCGTCTATTGAATCTACAATATTACATTGTGCATGTCAGAATGGTAAACTAGAGACATTCCTATATATCATAAAAACATATCCTGATTTGTTAGAAGAGGACTACAATAACTCAACTCAAGGAACTCTGCTACATCGAACGGCTGAAGGAGGAAATCTGGAAATACTGAAAATTCTTGTCGAGAAGGGCAAAAATATATACTGTAGAACAAGGGATGGAAAAACTGTCTTGCATAAAGCGTGTAAGGACGGAAGATTTGACATGTGTAAGTATTTAGTGGATACTTACCCAGACCTGCTTCAAATGTGCGACAGTGAAGGGCGATCTCCGCTTCATGATGCCGGGCTTGGAGGCAATGTTGAGATATTCGAATTCCTCAAAGAAAGAGGTTTGAATGTGAAATATGTTTGCAATGAAGGGAAAACAATCCTTCATTACGCTTGCACAAACGGAAGATTAAAATTCTGCAAATACCTTGTTAGAGAATATCCAAAGTTATTGGCAGCGAGGGACAACAAAGGTGTTCATGCTATCCATGAAGCTGCTTGGAGCGGAATAGTTGAACTTTTAAAATTTTTAGTCGAAGCCAAGAAGGACCGAGGCATACGCGATAAAACATTCGATGGACGAACAGTGCTACACCAAGCGGCAGAAGGAGGACGTTTGGAGATGTCTAAATATTTGCTGGATAAAGAACCAGATCTTCTGCGAGAGGTGGACAACGAAGGAATGTCGGTTCTACATACAGCAGCTTTGGGGGGAAACATTCGATTATTTCAAATGTTGGTGGATAGGGGTCTTCTTCCAACCGAAAAGACAAAATGTGGACAATCAGTTCTACATCTGGCTTGTAAAAATGGGAATTTGTTAATGAGCAAGTATCTTGTTGCAAAATATAACCAGCTTTTGGGTGATGCGGATAACGAAAATAACACCGTGGCACACTCCGCGGCATATAGTGGAAATACTCAACTATTTGTTATATTACAGGAAAATGGAGTGAACGTTCAAGCTAAATCAAATAAGGGAGAAACCCCTTTGCATGTGGCCAGTGAACAGAGTAAAATAGATCTTTGTAGACATCTTCTTAAAACAAGTGAAAACGAAGATTTGGTCAAAATCAAAGATAAAGACGATATGAGTGTTTTACACAGTGCCGCTGCTAGTGGATACATTGGTCTTTTCAAATTATATATCGATCGAGGTTTAAGTGCAGTCGATTTCACAAGAGAAGGGAAATCGGTTTTAAGCTACGCGGCAAGAAACTGTAGAATAGAAATGTGTAAATACATTGTTGAAAAGTATGGCGAGTTGGTATGGCATATAGATAACCTAGGTGAAAATGTGCTGCATGATGCAGCACGAGGTGGAAATAGCGAAGTGTTCGAAATATTCATTTCACATGGCTTAAGTGCTAACACCAAAAGTAAAAACGGAGAAACTGTGCTCCATATTGGTTGCTCAAATAACAAATTCAAATTTTGTGACTTTGTTCTAGAGAAATATCCGAAGTTGTTGGAAGAAGAGGACAAATTAGGTCGAAAAGTACTAAGAGACACCTCTCAAGATTCCCTACAAAATCAGTATCGGTTTATATGCTCAAGCATCGAAAAGGAAAGCGGAAATTTAGAAATAAGTCATGCGACTGCGTCCTCAGAGGATGAAATTTCAAGATTGTCACCTAAATCAGAAGCTTCTATGGAACCCCCTAAGAAAATGCAAAAATTCTGAACTTCATGGTTAATCTTCTTGTGTGAAAGAAATGTCATGCATGGCCATGAAATGAGATTTGACATAAAATTGAACTACTTTAATACATGTATGACATTTAGTGTAAACAATCGATGTAAATATCAAAGGAGAATATAAAATTTAATCGATAATATATCAACAACAAAAAGATTAAAATACCTATGAGAAGATTGAAGTTGGGCACAATCAAAATCATAAAGTTTAAGTATGGGTCACTGTAACAGGAAAAAACCCCTCAGTCCTAAAGGGACCATTACATTTTGTAGGTCACACAGATGATTTTCTGTTTTTCTGTTACCGTCTGTTCGCCTCTGTTGTTCGTCATGTATCATTCATTAACATTTGAAGGTTTACTGTTTCTTCTAATGGCTATTCGCAAACGCTCTCAGTCTTTTTTAATTATTGTCCGGAAACGAAGTGTTAAAGTTGAAGTGTTCATAGCCATGCACGACTCTTTCTAAGGAAGAAATTCTTCAAAATCATATGTAAGTTTTGAATATTTTTAATATTCCAAACAACCAAAATGAATTTGAATTACATTATCTATATTGGATTCCGAAACTTCATAAAAATCCTTACAAAGATACACAGCGGGTTCCAGTAAATGTTCAACCAAACCTCTTTCTTTACTCCTCAATAAGATATTAACAGTAGTGAAGGGGAAACTTCAAGAGTACTGTGCAACATTATATTCGAGAAGTGGTGTAAATCAGATGTGGATACTTAAAAATTCCAAGGAACTTTTGGAAAATTTGAAATCATAAGATTTTACCAAAATCAACAGCTTAAAAACTTACGACATTTCAACTTTATACATAACCATTCCCCACGATAAATTAAAATCCTGGCTTTTTGATATCATTGACAGCTGCTTTTTCAATAAAAATGGAACTCGTAAATTTACTTACCTTGTCATTGGTCATTTGCAAAATTATTTTGTTAAAAAACATTCTGATTGTACACACAAGTACTCTGAAGTTGACATTAAATATACATTTGCGTGTTTAATGCTCTGTTCACAGGACCTTGATCTATGCCCCTTTGATAGGAGTCTTCTATTTAAAAAAAAAAGTGAAGATAACGAACAGTGATTAATCTCAAGAAATCTACTAATACAAATCTGTGAACAGGACATAAAACACACAAATTCCAGGGGTTGGATCAGGTGCCTAGGAGTAGTAAGCATCCCCTGTCGACCGGTCGCTCCCGCCGTGAGCCCTAAGTATCAATTAGGTAGACGGAATATTCCGTAATCAAATTTAGTATCACAAAAGGCCCATGGCCTGCATCGCTCTCCTGAACATTTTGGTTAGGAAAATGCAGAAATCAGTCAGTATTGAAAAGTTTAAATATATATATTTAAATATATAAGTTGTCCCATCCTAGTAAGGGGGGGGGGGGAGGCATGATTTGAACAAACTTAGATTTACACTAACTGAGGATGCTTCAATATTTCTTTGACTACTAATATATTCCTATAAGTTTTATCTTCTATTGCCCACCCCCCCCCCGGGGGGGGGGGGAGGGGGGGTCATGATTGAAACAAATCTGAATCTACACTACCTGAGATTGCTTCCATATAAATATGACCAATCTTGGCTTTGCTGTTCATAAGAAAAAGATTTTTCAAGATTTTTCTTATATATTCCTATGTGAAACTGATCATCCAATGTGGTTCCACCCTATTCCCTGGGGTCACGTTTTAATCAAACTTGAATCTACACTATCTGCTGTGACATGAGACCTCGGTTTAGATGGTCAGATCCCAAGGACCAATTTCCATGCCCCACAGTGGCATTTGAACCCGCAACATATCTCTTTACTCCACAAATCTAGAAAGATTGCGCCATGCTGGAGATTACTCTCAGTAGAAAATATCACCATAAAAACATGATGAACCCTTAAAACCCCAAAGAAAGTTCTTCTCCAACGATTCTAGTATTTTTTAATATATTTCTTGTAATATGAATGTATATCATTTAGCTTAAGCACACCATGCATTAACATAAAGCCAATCAGTCAAACATGAGCTATCCACAATGATATCATTGTTTGATGTCAGTAATATCATTGTTTAAATATCACAGTGATATCATTGTTAAGATATTACAATAATATCATTGTTTAATATCACAGTGATATCATTGTTTAGATATCAGTGATATCAGCGTTTATATTTAAAGTGATATCATTGTTTAGACATCACATTGATACCATTGTTTAGATATAACAGTGATATCATTGTTTAGATATTACAGTGATATCATTGTTTACGTATTGCAGTGAAATCATTGTTTAGGTATTATAGTGATATCATTGTTAAGATGTCACAGTGATATCATTGTTTAGATATCACAGTGACATTGTTGTTTAGATATTACATGATACCATTGGTTAGATACCAATATCATTGTTAAAATATCTCAGTGATATCATTCTTTAGATATTGCAGTGATATCAATGATAAGATACCACAGTGATACAATTGGTTGGAAAGACACTATATCAACTTAAAAAATAATATCAATGAAATTTCCAATTCTTGGAACTAAAAATGCAGAATGGACAATCCTTGATCAGAAATGCAATTATCAATCATTTTCTGTAGTAAAATAGAAAGCTCTCTGCTATGTAAAAGCCTCCATATTTTAAAAATGTGAAGCTCTCTTCTTTAACATCTTAAATGACATTTATTTCTATCAATGGTAACAATTATTGTGATTATTTCTCAGACATATCTCTTATTGCATTAAGAACAAACATATGTTTAATAAACCTATCAATTACTGGGGGTTTTATCATCCAAAGCAATTCTACATCAAATGAGCACTTCAAAGAAAAACACAGAACTGGACTCAATGTACAACAGTGTATCTGCATCTCATCTCTACCTTCACCAAGGTATGGCTCAACACAAGAAAATAATTGTCCAAAAATGTCTGCTCAAGGGATTTTCTTTTATAATAATAACACAAACATACCAATATATACTGTTGTAATAATAATATGGACATTCATAACCTCTTAATTAAATATAAATACATTAAAAACAGCTCTTCAGATTGAAAGTCAGGTGTTTGTTTCATACTTAACAATGTACACACATACTTAAGGGATTTAATGGACAGAGTAAACAGGCTATTAATACAAAATTAAACAGAAATGGAACTTCTATTTAATCAATCTCAACACTCCACACTCAAAATACATATTGTATCAATACAACATGGAAGACCCTTATTTAATACATCCTTGAATATTGAGCACAGCCTGCAATGGTTTCTCTTTCATTATATTGCAATTTTGAGCTTCAGAATCAACTACACAGAAATATCTACTTAATTCTGTTATGGGTATCCATATTTACAAAAGCTTCTCAAATTTTTTGTATCTTTATCAAAGAATTCCTCTCCTTGAATACAATCATTTCCACAGAAGTTACACATAACTAAGAACTATAAAAATGTCCTTAACACCTCTTTGCATGTGTTTATACTTTGATGCATAAACTATGCTCACAAATAATGCATTTATTTGACCCTCTGGCATGTTCATGGCCTTATCATAACTTTAACAGTACCTTCTATATCCACGAAACAAGATATCTGAAAGTACATCAACATCCACGAAACAAGATATCTGAAAGTACATCAACATACACGTACATATGCTATCTATAGAATTATACCCCTTATGCTGCCAGCATTGAATGTCCCACATTCAATGTATCCCTCAAGTAAAAATTTTGATATCCAATCACCACCCAATTGCACATACATGTACATTGTATGAAGACTGAAGTACAAATGTTCTTAGTCAACTTGTAGAATTAATGATGAACTATCAGATCAGTTAGTCAGAGTTTAAGGTTGGTAAACAGTGTGTACGATATAAATCTCAAATTTTATGTTCTTACCTGAAACGCTACAGTATGCTTTGTATATGAACTAATACATGTGTACTATAATCATTCAATCACTCTCACTGCATACATAACACATGTATATACCAAATACCATAGATAAAATACTTCAGAATGATAGGTACCAAGTTTTTTCTCATTAGAAAGAACCTAAAATAAATCTTTCATATGCTACAAACACCTTAGTATGCATATGATACTGAAGTTGTACTAGGTAAAGACTTGAATACTGACAAAAATATTGCCTACATTTTGTAAATCAATGAAATTCAATGAAAATCTGACTAGAGAACATGAACTAAAGCCATTGAAAGTCTTTTTCTGAACTTGCCATACTTTTAACTAAGTAAAATCCCATTACCAAGCCCTAGCTTTGTATATGTTTGTTTCTTATTTCTAGCCACATGTCTTTAAAAATAAACTTTTTTTGTACATTTTAACTTTGTAATATTTTGCTTTCTTTACTTACATGTACATGTATTTTTACCACAGTAGCATGTCATTGGACATTTACATTACAAAACGAAATACTTTTGGAATTTGTTAACTCAAAGAGATCCACAATTCGACCAAAAAAAAAAATCAAATAAAATTGCTAGAGCAATACTGTGGACGGAAAGAGAAAATAAAAGAAAAAGTAGTATTTCAGGAAGAGATGTCAGCCTTCATGAAAATTCCTCTAATTTCATGAAAGAAAAGTTGAAATAGGGGAAAACAGCATCTGATAAATTTGTTAACTTGTCTATTCTGCTCTCCTGTTACTATAGAAGTCCATGTTTTTCTTTATACCGCTGCCGAGCTGTTTCCAGCATGATTTGTTTTCTTTCCTCTAGAGATAACATACGACTCGGTGCTGCCGTGTGGAATGTAGTGTCGCCATATTTCTGTTGAGATGGCTGGAAAAATCACATCACACAGTTTTATAAGGAAGTGGTATAAACCAATAATAAGAACCAATTAAAATCAACAAGGTCTTCAAAGAGTATAAACTAACAAGAGGCCCAAGGTCCTTAACGGTCACCTGAGTATAATACAACAATTTAGAAGTTAAATACACTGATAGATGAAGCTTTGTTGCCCTAAAGCAAGAGAAGTAGGAAGATCAGGATCTACAAAATAATTAGCCTAGTATTCAGTATCAACTCATAACTTAAGTTCTAATCTTTCCCCCACTTAACATTATCACCATGCAGACTATTAACAAACTATTAGTGCTTCTGTACTATTTTTAAACCCATATTAAGACCTCTAGCATTGACCTCTCTTATGGTCTTTGAAGAACTTTTAATAAGATAAGTTATTTTTGTCTCATTTTTATATATCTATTACTTACAGGTCTGCCTGATTATTAAAACTAAGAAAGTACTTTTTGAATTGTACGATAAACATTCTTGCATAATTATCTTATTCTATTAATCTTTCAAATACATTATTTACAGTGATTAATTATCAAAGGTGAATGGAAAAGAGGAATAACTTCTCTCAGTAGAATACAAATTAACAGAGCCCTGTCCAGGACCAGAATGCTTAGACAAATTGTCCAGATGTTCAAAAATCTGGTAGAAATATGCTTACTTATATCATTTAAACTTTTACTCAGTTTGCTTTCGATATGCCCAGAAGCAGAGAAGAATTTCACAGGTACAATGCATTTTCACTACAGATTCAACAAAGCCTTACCCTAGCACCAGAACCCAAGACCAAAGGTCAAGAAATTTACAAATTTGGAAGAGTTACCCTCATCATCACAACTATGGACTTCAAAGAATTAACACTTTTCCACTATATTATCAAAAGCCTCCTCCCCCCCCCCCTTTCCTCGTTATGCCAGAACCCCTGACCCTAGGACCACAAGATTTAAAAATTCTGTTCGAAGCTCCCATCTTCATCATAGCTAAGCAATTTATTTATCAGCTCAACACTAAGGAGCAGACAGGATTTGTTAATGATTAATTAAAAGAATTAATGCATTTTCACTATATAATCAATAGAGCCCCCCCCCCTCCCCCCCAAGAACCCCAAAAACTGAGGCAATGTATTTAAAAATTTTGGAAGAGGCACCCTTGCCTATAATAATCATGCACTTAGTTTGTTTAAATAATCTCCAGTAGCAAAGAAGAAGATTTTAATAGAATCAATGCATTTTCACTATATAATCAATAGAGCCCCGCCCTAACATCGGAACCCCTGACCCTGGGGCCATGAAATTCACAATTTTTAAAAAGGCATCCTTATGCATCATAACCATGCACTTAGTTTGTTTAAATAATACCCAGGAGCAGAGAAGAAGATTTTCAAAGAATTAATGCTTTTTCACTATATAATCTATAGAGCCCCACCCTAACACCAGAACCCCTGACCCTGGGGCCATGAAATTCACAATTTTTGAAAAGGCATCCTTATGCATCATAACCATGCACTTAGTTTGTTTAAATAATACCCAGGAGCAGAGAAGAAGATTTTCAAAGAATTAATGCATTTTCACTATATAATCAATAGAGCCCCGCCCTAACACCAGAACCCCTGACCAAGTGGCCATGGCTTTCACAATTCTGGAAGGGGCCCACCTCCTCATCATAACTATGTACTTAGTTTATCACCTTAATGCCCAGGAGCAGAGGAGAAGATTTTCAAAGAATTAATGCATTTTCACTAGATAGTCAATAGAGCCCCGCCCTAACACCAGAACCCCTGACCCTGGGGCCATGAATTTCACAATTTTGGAAGAGGCACTCTTGCTCATCATAACTATGTACTTAGCTACTTTATTTAATACCTAGGAGCAGAGAAGAAGATTTTCAAAGAATTAATGCTTTTTCACTAGATAGTCGATAGAGCCCCGCCCTATTACCAGAACCCCTGACCCTGGGGCCATGAAATTCACAATTCCTGAAAAGGCACTTTTGCTCATCATAACTATGTACTTAGTTACTTTATTTAATACCTAGGAGCAGAGAAGAAGATTTTCAAAGAATTAATGCTTTTTCACTATATAATCTATAGAGCCCTGCCCTAACACCAGAACCCCTGACCCTGGGGCCACGAAATTCAAAATTCTTGAAATGACACTTTTGCTCATCATAACTATGTACTTAAATACTTTATTTAATACCCAGGAGCAGAGAAGAAGATTTTCAAAGAATTAATGCTTTTTCACTATATAATCTATAGAGCCCTGCCCTAACACCAGAACCCCTGACCCTGGGGCCATGAATTTCACAATTTTGGAAGAGCCACTCTTGCTCATCATAACTATGTACTTAGTTACTTTATTTAATACCCAGGAGCAGAGAAGAAGATTTTCAAAGAATAAATGCATTTTCACTAGATAGTCGATAGAGCCCCGCCCTATTACCAGAACCCCTGACCCTGGGGCCATGAAATTCACAATTCTTATAATGGCACTTTTGCTCATCATAACTATGTACTTAGTTACTTTATTTATACCCAGGAGCAGAGAAGAAGATTTTCAAAGAATTAATGCTTTTTCACTATATAATCTATAGAGCCCCGCCCTAACACCAGAACCCCTGACCCTGGGGCCATGAAATTCACAATTCTTGAAAAGGCACTTTTGCTCATCATAACTATGTACTTAGTTACTTTATTTAATACCCAGGAGCAGAGAAGAAGATTTTCAAAGAATAAAAGCTTTTTCACTATATAATCTATAGAGCCCCGCCTTAACACCAGAACCCCTGACCCTGGGGCCATGAATTTCATAATTTTGGAAGAGGCACTTTTGCTCATCATAACTATGTACTTAGTTACTTTATTTAATACCCAGGAGCAGAGAAGAAGATTTTCAAAGAATAAATGCATTTTCACTATATAATCTATAGAGCCCCGCCCTAACACCAGAACCCCTGACCCTGGGGCCATGAAATTCACAATTTTGGAAGAGGCACTCTTGCTCATCATAACTATGTACTTAGTTACCTTATTTAATACCCAGGAGCAGAGAAGAAGATTTTCAAAGAAATAATGCACTTTCACTATATGATCTATATTGCCCCACCCTGGGGCCAGAACCCCTGACTCTAGGGCCATGAGTTTCACAATTTTGGTAGAGGGCTCAATGCTTATTTCAATGATGCCAACAGTTTGACTGCTTGATGTCCAGGAGTAAAGAAGAAGATTTTTAAAGATTGCATTATTTTTGGTGGTTTTAGCCCCACCCCTCAGGCCCCAGGGGGGCAGGGACCATGAAATTCACAATTTTTGTTCCCCTTCACCCATAGATGCTATATGCCAAATTTGGTTGAAATTGGTTGAGCGGTTTTAGAGAAGAAGCTAAAAATGTTCAAATGTTAACGCACGCTGCACGCCGACGGACGAGAATGGATAGCAATAGGTCACCTGAGTGACTCAGGTGACCTAAAAAGATAAAAAGATTTTTACTTTGTAGACCATCAGAAAATGTTAACTTTAAACACGTGTAAGCATTAAGGAAGACAATTTCTAATTTGTCTCTTTCTGCATTTTTATACTTACTGCTATGTGTACATTTATTTTCTTTCTTATGTGTAACAAATTGTCTGTTGATTGTGAATTTTTCTGAGGTTCCACGGAGATTTTTCCCTCCAGTATATTGGTAATTGTTAGATCCACTTCACGAGTTTTTTCTAATACAAAAAATAAGAAATACAGTATTACAAAAAAATGTTTATTTACATTTCCAAATATTTTTCCTTAATCAACTGCATATTTAACATGAAGTGCTAACGCTTTTCATGAAATATGCAGGCGTGAAGCATCGTAGTTCATGCTCTCATGAATTCTCAAAAATTAAATTCATCTCTTAAATATATTTTATAATACTGCTTAGATATGAAATTGTAAGAATGATCCCTTGATGCTGAAATATTTCATATGTACATGTATATTAGATTTATTTAAGCAATTGCAAAACTAGACTTCAGCAATTCAAAAAAAAAATCACTGTCAAGACAGAGTATCCAATCTTTTATTATGAAAAGAGGAAATTCAAACTAGATCTTTTAGTAGGACTGTACAGAGTATTCTACCTAAATATGTTAGAATGACTCTAGTGTGTGCTAGTACATGTATATCCTACTTAGGTCTATCAGTACGCCTGCTTGGAATATCCTACCTACACATAATTTTTAGTAGGACTAGTACTGTTTCGAATGTTGTGAAATCATTCTATCTACGGGGGCACATTTCTATGGATTGCTAAAAATTTTACAGGTTTGTAGGAACATACATGTAATTTTGTAGGCAAACATATTGTTATATAAAAAAAAAAATTAAAACCTATATTTCAAAATTTGTTCAGGTTGTAATTCATGAGTAAGGGGTATCCTAACCAAAAACATGTCCAAAGGACATGAATGCCCCTCCCAGGGTTCATTAGTAATGCAACATGAAAATTTGTATTAGTGTATGAAATTTGATGAAAACATCTTGAAAAGTTTCTTTAAAATTGAGTTTAATTTAGGAATGACTCTAATTCTTGGCCAAATTATTCGAGTATAAGCTGGTTTGGGTCACTTTACGCTTTATAATCCGCAAAGCAGATTATAAAACAGCGTAAACTGACCCAAACCAGGTTATACTCGAATAATTTGGCCAAGAATTAGAGTCATTCCTTATAATTTAATTTTAAAATCATTAAATAACTACGGATGTGAAATTTCGTTGCTGTTTATTAGTTCAAATTTGCCGCTCAATAATACAACCGTAGTAACGGAAGTAACGGAGGTGATGGGAAGCGAGGGGAGGTAAAAACTGATACATAGGCCTAGCAGCCTTGTTGTTTGTTTATATGTGGTAAGATCAAATTATTGTTTGAAGTTAAAGGTACATTTATTATATCTGGAATTTTCCATGAATCCCGAGGACTGGAAATGAGAGGATTGTATGGATACAGATGATTCAGCTGGTTGTCAGGGGGGTGTGTCCCCATACCAAACCAGGTTATACAGAAATACTTTGTGTTCCTTTTTGGATATTAACCAATCAGAGGCTAGAATACAAACAAAATTAAATTATTAAAAAATAAATGGTAAAGTCAAAGGTCATTGGGAGTTCAAGGTAAATAAATCTAGACACAATTGATAAATTCTCACTACATTATGTATCAGTGCATAAGCATATAGATAAAAATATCTTGAACAGTTTCTCTGAAATTGAGCAGAGGGCAAAATAAAGAAAAGTAAGGTCAATGTCTTACATTTAGGACAGAGTTGAACAGTTCTCACCAGTATTTATCAGTATACTTGTATATTGATAAAAATACATGTATTTTGAATGTTTCTTTATAACTGACCTAAAAGCAAAGTGTGTCAGATGGACAGAAGGAATGATGGATGATGGACATGCTATAGGCCCTGGCCATATTCATGACAGGGCATAAAAATCCACAAAAATTGACCCCCCATGAAATTTAATGATTCCTCTATACCTAGATTTTTCAGTACAACTGTGTGGAGTATTTTACCTAGATCTTTCAATATAACTGCTTCTGATGTGTCGGGTAAAACATCCCGGACTTGTTGGACCATTCTCTGTAACTCTGGGTCAGAACTTGCTCTATGAGGTGCTGCAAGTCTTTGTCTTGTATTGTCTACACATTAATTAGAAATAAGATATTTTTACTTGGACATTTTTGCTTGAGTTAAAATTATTTTTCAAAAATTCAATCTACAAATAAAGTTTTAGGTGCAAAGTTGCCCATACAATTTTCATTTACATTTCATTCTAATTTTAATATTTATCAGCTTTCTAATTTTACCCTCTTCAAAAATGCCACTGTTTTTGATTCATATTATTTTTCAAAAGTAAGGAAAACAAAAATAAGACCAAAGTGCTAATTTTTGCCAGGAGGAAAACATTCATTCCCAATGTGTACTCATGGACATTTGGATTGTATTATCCCTGTGTTGTTGCTGAGAACAGGACCAGTTTCCTTACTCTGTTGTTCCCGTTTTCTGGCTTCCTCTTCTTCCAGTCTTCTGATGAGGTCTTGTTTGTCCGACCACGTGTACTCTGTCATGGGGATATCCAGGCTCTCGGCTAGGTTTTTCCTTACTCTCTCAGTGAAGTCCTCCACACTCTCCCCTTCCCCACACTCTTCTTCTGGTAGTAATCTAAATATAGAACATGAGCACTAAAATATAGAACAGGGAAACTCCCTGGACCTCATATTGCTCCTCTGTAAGTTATCTAAATATAGAACACAAACACTACAATAGAGAACAAGGAAACTCCCCTTGTAAGGTTAAACCTTGTTATGCTGTCCTGGTGTTTACAGTAAAATTAAATTGCATGAATCTGAAGGGATTTTACAGTTCTGTAGTATAACCCATGTTATTTATAAACAAAAAGCAGATGCACAAATATAGTCATACACAAACACTGAATCAAAATGTTCTTTAAAAAAAGCATCTGCTGTCTTGAAGTGTTTCTGAATCTGCTGACTTACTTGACTTTGTATATTGTGTATGGCACAAACAGACTCCAGAGAAAGTCTTGATATATGTTACTGGTTAGTGTTGTCTGCAAAGAATACAAAGGTAAATATCTCTGTTATCTATAAATAAATAACATTAACATACCACAAAACATATTACATAAAAATGGAAAATAGAAAGTCCTACTTGATAGTATTGGTGTACCACTCTATGCATAACCTTGTTTTAATTGATAAGATAATGCTAGGCCCTTACCACAGCCATTGTCATTGGCCACCTTGTAACCTGCAGCGCTACCTAAAATTAATAAAGAAAACATAAGACTTTAATATATTGGTGTGTGATTTATACATGTACATGCACTTACAGAGATATGGCAACATAGTAGATACCATTTGACCATTACTGGTACATCAATGCCACCATTCAGTGTCATTGTAAATGGAAATCTGAATGCTAGTATATATACATGTAGTTTAGATGTGATACTAGAAACATAGAGATTGGGAGTCATGCTTAGGCACCAACAGATTTCTGAATTTTAACTAGCTGATTGGAGAAATTTTAAAATCTTACATTGATGAATAAAAACATATAATTATTTTCAACATAGCCCTTGAATGGAACATAAATAAATGTAGGGGATAATTGTGGGAATTTCTCTTTCAATTTAACAATCACTTACAGGTTGAACCTTCCCGAGGCTGAAGGGGAAAGACCTGGAAAAATAAAAATAAATTCTTACTACAAACACAGTAGCAATAGCTGGTTGCTTTCATGATCAAATTAATCATCATAGTACAATGTACATTGTAAAATAATTATTAAATTTCACCATTACTCAAATTTCTTGTCATATTCATACACCTGTTACTTAAAAATTTAAAAACAATTGACAAAGTAACACCTGTAAAGTGAAAGAGAACCACTCACATGAATTTGAGAAGTCCTGTTCCATTTGTTGTGGCCTTTTCTGGATGAAGCAACACAGGGAACTTGGATTCTAAATATATTGGTACTTTTTTTTGTAAAAGACCTTCAAACTCCTAATAAGTGTATTAAAATGAATTCATAAAGAACTAAAGAAATATTGCTTAAATGTTTATAAAGATTTTCTGTCATTCAAAATTGATTATCATGTGTTGCCCAAGTTTGATGTACCTCTGACAAACTTTCTGATATTCTCTTCTAAGACATCGGCTCCTTTAGAAGAACCAAAGTCCTTGAAGCCAGTTAGCCACTGCATGAAGGATGACAGGCCCACTATGTCAGGCTAAAAACAATATGATCCTTATTAATTTTCAAACTCAACAATCAAAAACACTTATACATGTATTAATTAAATACTTTCATATATGAATAAAGTCATAAAAATCAATAGTATTGAAATTGGACCAGCTACGATGCTGATATCAGTTCAACATCACTAATATTGGCACACTTATTTCCCATCTAATCAAAAGTTATAAAGTGTCCAGAAGTGCTTAAGATAAATGCATACAAGCTGTCCTTTCATATTAGATGGTGTCCCAATTCATCAACATATCACATGCAAGTAGTGAGTGCAAAACATTTACTCATGACCAAGAGTCAGGCAATATATGAATTGTTAACCCTTGACCAAATCAAATTTTGCCCTCATATTTAGTCAATAACTATATAGTGTTTGATGTTACAGCTGCTGTTTTAATGTCCTCAAGACTGGGAACAACTCAGATTGAAAACTATTTATAAAATCAACCCTCCAGTTTTTCTCTGTGAGATTACAGCTCTCAATGTGGCTGAACTACAGAGGGAACCTTGAACGGCTCAACCACTATAGAAACCACGGAGACCTGTGACCCACAGAACCCAGAAAAACCGGGTCAACTGAGTAAGGAATCATCACCGTAGTTCTCAAGTCAAGCTGTAAACAGGTAAGAATGTGTATTAAAAAAAACAAACTACTGTATGTGTACATAAATTGACGTACTCAAAATTTAGCACAATCACTGGGTATTGAGTGTTTAGCGTAATCATGAATTAGCGTTACACACGTCTGCCCAATGTATTGTAGTTATTTGTGATTTATTAATGGTATTCATGAATTATCGCATTGTTGTCCGCGCCAAAGCCGCTAAAATATGAAGCCCGCTTTTTTAAGTATCCATACAGTATTTTTCAGATATGAATTTCAAAGCACTCTTTCATTTTCTATGAATTTGACAACACAATTTTACAATCACTAAAACAATCATTATGAATTCACTTAACGTACAGTATAAGTGATATTTAACATGACAGACTAACTTCACTAACTTTGGCTGCTCACCAGCTTCTCAATGTTACAGCATCACATGATTGTATACTTTCATGTTAAATACTAAAATCTAATTGGTTTAGATGCATTTAACAATCTGTAATGTTACCCTCAGCGTTAGCAACACACTTGACAATGGGTAACACAACGAAATTGTTACATGTGTGCAAATTATGCGCATACGGTTCACCGTAGAATTCTCAAAATGTCAGTTGTGCATTTGAAAGAAGCCGAATAAACTTGACGTCAATAAAAGCTTGCGTCCGATGTAGCTTACTTGAAAACATCAAACGACAGATGAAACATGCTTGCGAGTACAGAAATAACGAAACTTTAGATGATAAAGGACTCTTTGAGTATCAAACAAATAATAAAGAGGTCAGTAATTTCTTATTGAGAAAAATAGTAGCGGGGAGTTTGAAAGCTTTCTAAATGTGAACGTACAGATGATCGACAAATTTTCTGGCCGACATCCTAAATCAATAAGACATTCAGTATAAAAAAAATAAATGGTGCCTGACGCGTCGGTTGACAATGGTTTTCCTTGGGATGTCAATTTCAACTGTTACCCTCCAAAACAGGCACCATTTATATAATGTACACACAGACTTACTGTTATGTTAGCAATGATAAAATCAATGATCATGTGATCCAAATTTGACACATGATTGGATACAATCACTTTAGCATCTTTATCTCTTCTCCTATCTTCCTGAATGACGACTTGTATACCAATCACTCCAAATATTGTCTTCAGAATAAAGCTACAAAACAAAGCATTAGTTTTTCTTTTGAAGTAATTCTCTATTTGTCTGTTCTGGGGATATCATTTGTTTTGTATTTTCTTCATTGCCCTATAATGCAACTTATTTTTTATGATAAGGTGCAAATGAAACATATAATTACACAGATGTGTTTTGTATTAAACTCTCAAGACATTCTTGAACATTTATAAAAAAAAAAATCTTTGTTCTCTTTCAATCCTGGATTAAAGTTTTGGGTAGATACATAGTTTACATGTATGTAGAAAAACTTGTTTTTTTTCAAAGAAAATACATTCCCTCTGAAAACTACAGATAATGAATGTGATCCCTGTAGATGTTTATGCTGAAATACCAATCCTCCTGCTTACAAAAATTTCAGATTTCAAGTTCTGCAAAATGAAAAAAAAGAAAACCCAAACAAACAAATATTTTTTAAGGAAGGAAAGAAAAACTTTTAAAGTCGCTTAAGTTTTTTTAATTCAATCTTATGGGTGAAAGGGGGGGGGGGACAAAACAGAACTAAACAAAACAACCAAACAAAAAACAACCAAAAAAAAATCTTCACTGTAGCATAATCTATAAAGACTTACAACTCTTTCTCACTTAATGTATGGAAATAGTGTAATCTTTAAAATTTCATAGCATTTCTGTCATTTCCCAAAGTTCACAATTAAACAGAAAATCATACCTAGTAGCAGCACATTTTGGCAATATACAGGTAACCAAGAGAGCATGTAATGTAATGAAGAGTCTAATGATGACCAGAGCAACACCAAAAGGGAAGTACAGGGCTGTCATCAGCTTTGTCTTGCTGTCAGGAATCCTGTCAATAAACATGAGGCAGATAAACAAATACTATCTGTACATAACAAATAGATGCTCCATTAAAGCACTGTGATAATTTACCCTCCATAGTTTGACCTAAGGGTGGTATCATTTAAAACATCTACTGCTTTACAACCCCAGTGTACTTGGACAGAAACATTAGAAAGTAGAATGTTCTCAGATTTACCTGGTTTGAGATGTCAGATGATAAAGAATAATGTAATAGGAGACAATCTCCTATAGTTAGGAAAACATTTCCTTTGATCGACCAGTCTTGATCTTGGGCCAACCTGTTTTAATTATTGGGCAGACCCTGTTTAGATAGAGGTTTCAGATTTGATGGGTCAAGATATTGTTGGGTTGAGACGTCTGGCTACCCTTGTTACTGTACAGCAAACTTGACTGATCAACAACATATGCATAGTAATTTTTTGGCTTTTTTTTTAAAAATAAATTTATGTGATCAAATGATGAGAAAATTTCATGGAAAGAAGGATACCCGAACTTACATTCAGCAGCTGTTCAGATAATCAAGGTATGACAAAATGTTGTATACATGCCCCCCCTTTAATGTCCCTTTACAGTAGAGAGGAGATATAGAAATGCCCTACTTTTCAATTAATTTAGTTCAATTTTTTAAGTTTCTACGCTATGATCATAAAAAAATATCCCAGTCTGTGTCCTGTTACAGTGTTATCAATTTTAAACGGGTTCCATTACGATCACAAAGAAGTAAAATCGTGACAAACACACCTGTTAACATTAAATAACGATTCCATCTCAATTCATAAGTTAGAGCAGGCGAGCGAAACAAGAAAAATAACTTTTAAAACTTTCTACATATTTTTCGAGTTTTTCATGGGGGCAGACATCTTGGTTTCAGTGCATCATGGGATAAAATCCGGATGAAAAGGAAGAAGAAATATTCAGATATTACTATGACAATCAAATTTCCGGTATTGAAGCGCGCCTTTTTTGACAGATCTGAGAAACATCGTAATTTAGGTAAATTAAAGCTATGCTTTTAGCTGTTTTCAATGGAGGTAAATCGAGTCAATCACTGCTAAATGACTGTTGAAATTACAAGAACTTAACTTATCATAGGATCAGTAAACAGTATTTGAAAAAAACGACAACGAATAAATAACAAACATAACACATATTAAACACTTTTTTTGTATTCAGTGTTAATTAAATTAACAATATAAAACACTTTTTCTTGTCAGATTAAAACAAGAGAGAATGGATAGTATCATAGATGAGGCCGAGGAGGGTAATGTGAAGGGTGTTGCTGAGACTCTGTGTAAAATACCAGAGAAAGAGGTGAGGATGTTTTCCAGGTTTGGTACAAGGCTCAACATAAGCTAAAATATCCACTTGTCCTTCAGACAAGTTACCAACAATTATTACTTGTCCGAATTCATATTTTAATCATGAAAATAAAGCCATTACTGTATGTAACCCAGTCCCAATCACTCTAGTCCATTAACGATGACTGATGAAGTGTGACTGAGCCCTTAAAAAATCACAGAGTTCATTAAATGAATTTATGAACATTTTTCTTCAATTTTCACAATTTTCCATACTGGTTAGAAAAAGTAACTTGTCCAATCGGTGTGTCTGGAGATGTGTGATTTTATCAGTAGACCGGTATATCCTGATTATTGCATGATATGCATATATATGAGGGATTAATTACAGTATTTGTATGGGTCTTTAGAGGATTATTTATAAAAATTTGCTTAATATGAGAGATTGAACTTAAAACAATGAAACTGTTTACTGTTGGATGATAGATAAGGTGAATTATTACTACAAACTGTACAGAAGGTATCAGTTTTGAGTATAAAAAAAATATAAAGATTCGTATATTTCTTTTATGTTGCAATACAAATGTACCTAGGACAGGGCATTCATGTCCTATGGAAATATATTTCTAGTTGTTTATTAATTTTTTAGATCATTGACACCATAGCAAAAAGACTGTGCAGGGAAAAGGGTGATGCTATAACTCTCATAAGAACCGTTCTACAAGGTTTGTATCTCAGTAATTTCTTGAATATTCAATGACAATGTTTATGATTACTTTTTCATGGAATTAATGCTTTGTCACAAAATGTGTATTGAACTACCTCATATTTTATGTTAGCTTCAGCAAGTGATCCAGGAAGCAAGAAGATAGGTGTTGAACTCTATAAAAGATGTATTCAGATTCTGGAGAAAAATGAATTGTCAAGTAAACTGGCTTCAAATCTGACAGGGATGCTGTTGATAGAGGTACAAAGATATTAAAGAGTAATGATGTAAAATTACCTGCACACGGAATTAATATATTAATCTCTTGTCTTGTATCAAAATATCTTGCTACTACTCTAGCAAATACTGATGTACTCATGTATTTCCTCTTATCAATGTAAATGTACTAAGTATTTTTGATTCAAGATTTTTTTAATACTTCTACATGTATTCTTTCAAAGACATTTGAGTATAATACATGATGTCTAATTATATATGAAAATATATCGTATAAGATAGAGCTTGTTTTCAAGTCTTTATCAATAATCATCAATACACTTCCTTAAATATCTCCAAATAATTATTAAAGTGTCATTACCCTCAATATAATTTTAAAATGTTGAAATCAGGATATGTGCCAATAACTTACCCTGTAATTATTTGTACAATTTTATTTGCAGGCTGACACATTAAACAACAACGCTCTGGCAGAAATCTCCTCCTTGTTCATAGACATGGTTAAAGCAGGGTCTATCCAGTGTGGAAAGTAATGGACAGAGAATATTATACCATTACAAGCTTCCCACTGGTGCATACATAATCAGGAATGCTTCAGTGGGAACAACCATCCTGTATCAAATTTTTTCCTTTGTATATCATTAGCTTGATGATGCTAACTATAGAAGCTTGAACAACCTGCTTTATTCCTTTTCTAACAGAGGCCTTGCACTACTACCCAAGATTCTGTCAGCCCTGTCTGTAGAGGAGACGGTGTCCTTTGGTGAGAGCTGTCTGAGCGGAGAGAAATACAAAAACCATGTCATCAACAGCCTCTGTTCCTGCAAGTAAGCTGTTCAAGACTTATTTTTTTGAAGACTCTCTATCAAATTTTGAAAAAAAGATTTGAGTTTCTACCTCTCTTTCTCACCCACTTTCTTTTTAGATAAGTAGCGCTGATATGATCAAAGCGTGTAAAGCTAAAACATAACAACTGAAATATTTAACTTAATCTACTTCATCCATGACAGAGCACTTGACTAGAAAGGAGTGGATGATTATGGAAATTGAGCAAGAGTGGCCATGGTTGTCGCTAACAGTAGGCCTAGTAGATCTAAGCATCAATGTCAAAACTTGATCATAAGCATAATGTAATATTTTAGAGTGAGTAAGAAAGTTTTTCTAAGTTTAATTCAAGAAAAAGTTTAGAATAGTAAAAAGACCATAAAAACCTGAAACCAGATTAATACATAACTTAACCAGTCAGAAAAATTTTAGATTCATGACAGCCCTAGAAAGAAGGGAAGGCTCTTAAATGATGTAAAATAAAATTACTTTGAAAAGTGTAGTTACTTGTACATATTTGGAAATTAATGAATTTCTTTGTTTATCATTATGTTTCATGGCCTCATGTGTCCTGCGGGGCACAGAGAGGATAAGTAAGTATTGTAATGTTTCACAGTCTTGTGTCCTATGGGGCACGGAGAGGATAAGTTAGTATTGTGATGTTTCACGGCCTTGTGTCCTATGGGGCACGGAGAGGATAAGTTAGTATTGTAATGTTTCACGGCCTTGTGTCCTATGGGGCACAGAGAGGATAAGTTAGTATTGTAATGTTTCACGGCCTTGTGTCCTATGGGGCACGGAGAGGATAAGTTAGTATTGTAATGTTTCACGGCCTTGTGTCCTATGGGGCACGGAGAGGATAAGTTAGTATTGTAATGTTTCACGGCCTCGTGTCATATGGGGCACAGAGAGGATAAGTTAGTATTGTAATGTTTCACAGCCTTGTGTCCTATGGGGATAATTAAGTATCATTCTGATTCATTGATTCTCTAACAGGTGGAACACTAAGAGTGTCTTACATTTAGCCGCCATGTTTAAGGATATCACACTGACTAGTGAGGAAGTCAAGTTTGTTCTGGAGAAGATCATCAGGATGATAAAGGAGTTAGAACTGGCAGATTTACCTGCCCTTGTTTATCAACTCTTACTACTCTCTAACAAGGTATAACATTCTTGTGCTTTCGTGTTATTTTTTGCATTACATTGTTGTAAGTCCATTTCTTTGATTTTCAGATACACATGTATTTGATTTCGATATTTGATTTTTCTTAAAGTTTGATAAAGAAAAAAATTATTGGTAAATACATTTATTGTAATACATACATTTTCAAACTAATGTGCTTTATAGGGTCACAAGAAACTGGTGATTGATGGTGTTACAAAATACTTCATAGAGCAAGATGCTACACATAAGGACCATGATCCTAATGAATTCAGGTTTGTCTGCTCTAAACTTTCTTACTTTCAGCATGTATAGCCAAGAGGAGTTTTTATTGTTTCACAGATTTGGTGTAGTGTTAATTATATCATGGATTTGTTGTAGTGAAGATCTTTTAGAGGGAGATAACTTCAGTGTGGAGACCCTGAGACAAACAGAGGGGACTATAATACTCCATATCAACTTTGCCATCAGTATGGACCAGGAACTGGGCAGAGAATTTATCAAGTTTCTTAAGGTTAGTAATACACAGTTATCTTAAAATATATACATGTATATATGATATACAAGTCACATGTTACAAACTAAATACCGTTATTACTTGCATGCCAAATTCATTAAAACTAAAGAAGACAGTAGAATATTACCATATTGAATTTATATAAGGTGTGTTACATTGTGTTTACCATATAAAATTTATATGTGGTGTGTTACATTGTGTTTACCATATACAATTTATATGTGATGTGTGACATTGTGTTTACCATATACAGTTTATATGTGGCATGTTTCATTGTGTTTACCATATAAAATCTATATTTGGTGTGTTACATTGTGTTTACCATGTAAAATTTATATGTGGTGTGTTATATTGTGTTTACCATATAAAATTTATATGTGGTGTGCTACATTGTGTTTACCATATAAAATTTATATGTGGTGTGATATACATTGTGTTTACCATATAAAATTTATATGTGATGTATTAAATTGTTTACCATATAAAATTCATATGTGGTGTGTTACATTGTGTATACCATATAAAATTTATATGTGGTGTGTTACATTGTGTTTACCATATAAAATTCATATGTGGTGTGTTACATTGTGTTTACCATATAAAATTTATATGTGGTGTGTTACATTGTGTATACCATATAAAATTTATATGTGGTGTGTTACATTGTGTTTACCATATAAAATTTATATGTGGTGTGTTACATTGTGTTTACCATATAAAATTTATATGTGGTGTGATATACATTGTGTTTACCATATAAAATTTATATGTGATGTATTAAATTGTTTACCATATAAAATTCATATGTGGTGTGTTACATTGTGTATACCATATAAAATTTATATGTGGTGTGTTACATTGTGTTTACCATATAAAATTCATATGTGGTGTGTTACATTGTGTTTACCATATAAAATTTATATGTGGTGTGTTACATTGTGTATACCATATAAAATTTATATGTGGTGTGTTACATTGTGTTTACCATATAAAATTTATATGTGGTGTGTTACATTGTGTTTACCATATAAAATTTATATGTGGTGTGTTACATTGTGTTTACCATATAAAATTTATATGGTGTATTACATTGTGCTTTTATTTTGTAGAGTAACCAGTCTGATACATCCCGAGTCTTAGCTCCCTTTGTACTCGCTTTGTCACTCTCACTGTCCAGAATTCACAGATTTGAAGGCCAGGTGAGATATTTAATTTAGGATGGATTGGTTATGGTCATTTGTTTGTCCATCAATTTTGTATAAGTGTTGCATTTGTTCTGGGTGACATACATTCATAGTATAATCGTCAACTTTAACAAATAAGTAACCAGAAAGAAATGTTTTAATGAGATGACCTTGACCTCAACATTTGACCTATTAGTAAACAAAAAAGATTTATTCATTTCTCATAAATGTCTTTTTAAAACATCACACACGGCTAAATCCAAGATGATTATTTTCAAATACCACCATTTGAAAAGATTTTGGCCTTGACATTTGACTTATAATGGAAAATTATAGTGGTGTTCACCTCTATTTTGTGTAGTATATATTTAATTAACTTCAAATTTCATGTTTTATGAATTTGTGTGTAACATTTTGAATACTAAGATGTATGTTGACTTTCACCTCACTGTACCTTATGAATTGTAACATTTTGAATACTAAAATGTACATGTATGTTGACTTTCACCTACTGTCCCTTTTGAATTGATATGATTTGCATGGGTATGCTTCTATCTCAGTATTTTGTTTGATGAGCTTAGTAAATAAGTTATGATAAACTCATTCCCATACATACATGTATAACTCAATGTGCTCAGAACATTGTCTCTTAGGACCCTCAATGAAGCATCACAACAATCAACATTTCAATTGATCAAATTTTATATAAACTGTCCCATGCAAACTGGTCAAATCAATGAGGAGTTTCTTGTATTGAAATGAAATACACATATACATATATATGTAGTTATGTGTGAGTTTTTTCCAACCAATTATTTTATTATTTTATATTTTTATTATCGGAGCTCAAGTTCATTCTCAATTTGTTCAGAAAAATGAAAATACATGTATATTCATCAAATTATTGAAATTGTCACCAGATTATTAAACCTGATTGTATTTTGAATGATCTTTTTTCAGATATTTGATTTGCTGAAAGCTACAATTATCAAGAGTTTTAAAGACAGTGAGAAACAGAAGCAGTCCAGCTGGGTTCGGGAGATTGTTCCAGATACATGTCATGTACAGGAGTATGTTCTGTCAACAATACAGAACAGGTATGCTTAGAGATCATGAAAACTTGCTACATAGTACATGTACAGTGCCTATATAATTATAATGTTGATACGGAACAAAAGGGTAGTTCAACAGCTATAAATGGATGCTCCTAAGTTGTTTTTTTTTTCAAAGTGGTCTTTGTTTTTCTAACCCAGTGATCATCCATTTTATATTTTGCAACAGAGTGAAATTAATATATAGAAGTTTGTTGTAAAAAAACTTGTGTATGATTGAAATATTCTTAAAACTCAATTTTAGCAAACATGGTTGGGACCATGTGATTCAAGGCTTGGTTCAGTTAGGATTTGGGTTAATGGATGCCTATGGTCCAAAGGGTGCCTTTGGTCGCATAGAGACAGGGAGCATACAGACAGGCCCCTCCCACTCTGCCTGTCAGCTGGGGAGCAAGATCCTACTACACACATTCAAAGTAAGACTTTCACCATAACATCACAAAGTAATGATCTACAGCTTGGTTGTATGATGTAATCACATCACAAGGGTATTCCTTGGGTTTTATGGATTATACAATGCAAGATAAAGTTTGTAACAAAAAAAATCTGAATATTTTATATGTGAAGATTTTCCCAATTATTTTTTTAGGCTCATGATATGGTGAGAGCTGAAATTTTAGAGCAGATTTTTAACAGGGTTGTTACAAAGGCAACATCACCTGTCAGCCATTACTTAGGTATTTTATGACATTCCAATTTTTCTACTCATTCAGTTTGTGAAGATGGACTGTCAGTCTTGATGAAGAATCCGTCTGAGATCTTTTTTTTATAGAACTGCTGTCCAGCACAGTGATGTCAGCTCCCCAGAGGCTCTTGGAGTCCTCCACTAAGGTCCGGGAGACATTTGACTACCTGGCGTTCCTCACCCCCTCAGCTGCTGAGGGACTACTGAAAGCTATCAACCCTCTACTGAAGCTCAGTATGTCACTGAGAGACTCGCTCATTCTCGTCCTCAGGAAAGCCATGTTCTCAAGGTAGTATACTAGAGTTTATTTAACTAGGCTAGAAATCTAGGATTACATGTTGAAATGAAAGTGTATGCTAAGATCTGCATAATATTTTCAGGCAATTGGACTCCAGAAAGATAGGTGTGTATGGGTTTTTGATGTTCCTGAAAAATTTCCGTATTCTTGGTGGAATGCCATCCAGTCAAGCTAGTCAGCAGTTCTCATCAAGTCAGGTAAATTTGTTTTGTCCAATTACATGTGTTTACCAGCTTTATTGACAGTGAGAAAAAAAAAGGAAGGAAAATTTAAGTTTTGGAATAGATTTGATAGTTATAGTACATGTATGAATTCAGTTCACATTTTTAAATGTTTTCAGTCAGTTTGCAATGCCAAAATTTTTCTTTGGATTTACAATACTTTATTAGATGGAGAAGATCATGAAACTGTCTGAGGTGTGGCCTTTAATGTTATTGGCATTTTGTTTTCCCTTCACAGTAGAGTAGAATCAGTAGATACAATATATTTGTTTTATAGTTTAGTAAACAATTTTTTATTAACATAATACAGTGGCGCCTCGTTTATCCGGACGCCTCCGTTCCCAACGAAAACGTCCGGATAAATGAATCGTCCGGATAAGTGAATCACTTCTTAAAAAAAAACCTTCTCCAAGCATGTGTATATGCACATACTGGTATCAAATGTAAAGGCAAAGGGAAAAAAAACTGATATTTTGGTTTAAACTTTTTATTTTTTAGCTTTAAAAGAAGTAATTAAAAGAAGTAATTAAGTAAAGAAAAAAATATATTAAAATGTAATTTATGCGATAAAAAAATTGATACTAGGTAATTTTATGCTGAGACCTTTTTTAACGCAGGCTATTTTATTCGCCTTCTCTTTTGGCGTGAATTCATGAGCTGAGAAAATTTTGATCTACTGTTGTTTTATTTCACTATCTTTTATAATTATTAGAGCTCATATAATATGACAGAACTGTTCAGCATCATCATTGAAAATGTTCAAATATAAACTAACCCTGTATATTCCCGTATATTCTTTACACAGGGCTACTATAGTAACTGAACACTTCAAGCTATCTCAAACACGCACAATCAGTGAAAGTATTGTAAACATTCAACATAAACACAAGCAATCTTAATGATTATCAATTATTTTTTTCTAAAGACTCTAAGTTTGAATTTCGATCACAAAAAATACCTTGAAAAAACGTAATCAACTTCTATACGTAACGCCAGCTTTATATTTCTTTTCTAAAGTAACGTATGTTTATAGACGGTAGTACATTAAATAGAAAGATATTTCTGTTCTGCCTAATGTAGAAAAAAGCGTTTCAAATACATTTACGTTTTTAGAAATAGAAAATCATATTTTAAACTAACAGTCAACATGATCAAGACCATTACGAAATCGCTCGTAATTTATTGTTCTTTTTATTTACAACTCTCCAAAATTCTCATGAATTTACCGATGTATATACGGTTAGCAATATGATTTTGAACAGATTATAATTTAAATAATGCACAGTGTAAGCGAAATTCTTCGAGTTTCATAATAGACGTGTGATTTAATTGGGGTAAACACATAGATTAATTATAGACGCTTTTGTCTGTAGGTCACAGGTAACCGCCTTTAAACTGACTACATGGCCAATGTTTTTACAACAATTAACACTACTGCAAGATGGGTGAGAAAAAGCCGTTTCTTGAAAAATTACTGTCCGGATAAACGAGTCATTTTTTCAACGAACTATTACGTTTTGTAGTAGAAATCGACCGTCCGGATACGGAACGCGAATTTCTGGATTAATGAAACAGAATAACGTGGAAAAAATCGGTTCCCCAGAAATATCGTCCGGAAGGTGAAGCGTCCGGATAAATGGTGTCCGGATAAACGCGGCGCCACTGTATTGCATTCCGAAATGCTTAGTTTTATTTTGCATGTGTTCTGTATTTTACCTGATACAGTTTTTTAGAGCATTTTACTGTACAAGGTTAATTTTGTGTTACTCAATATGTTTATGAGAATACAAACCCAAAGAGTATTTAACAAATTTTGAAAGAAAACCATAGTTTATTTGCATGGTTGATACAGTGTATGTGTCACAATGCATGCCTATGTACAGTCATTGTTGTTCCAAGATAACTTTATTTTACTGTTATATTTAAAAACTCCAAAAATTGAAAGGTGCATTTCTATTTTTGTTGTAGATTCAGTGTGTATAAGTATTAATTTTGTTGTTTATAGGTACAAGCTGACATCCATGTTCGGTACAATCCCGCCAGTAATGAGGCACTGTGTTTAGAAATCATGGGAAATCTCCGACGAGTCCTCACTCAGCAAGCTGACGTTAGGCTCATGTTCTACCAGGCATGTAAAACAAAAAAGAATAAGCAAGTGATCAATTTACAGTATAGAAAAATACTCATGTTTAATCAATGAATGTAAAAAAAGTTTATCTGTCTTCTTCATATGTTTACAGGGAATCTATGAAGCGTTGTGTAAAAATACACAAATAATGGGGTCGGTTTTGGAAATTCTTCTAAGTCAGGTACTAGAAAACATATAGGACACTGACGATTGATAGTTTATTATTATATGAATACAAATAATTATGTATAAATTCTATACAAAAATCTCTTCACAGTTGAAAAAGTACTATGAGCCCACTGAAGATGTTAATCCCCCCATAAAGCTTGATCTCTGCATCACTGCTCAAGGAGACCAGATATATCTAGCTGAACCACTGGTCAGTCAAATAATACACATAGATTTATCAAAGCATGTGCATACTGATGTTATTGTACCTGTACAGGTTATGATCAAAATTCTAACCCACAATTATTTAACAAAAATACATGTATATAATGACAAACTTTTCCCCAGAATTTAGATTAAAAAATCCTCAAAATTGAAGAGATCAAATAGATGTATACTCTTAAATTTGTAAAAAGGTTCAGCTTGAGTCATTGACATAGAATTCTAATTTCATTATCTTTAAACACTGTTGCTTTGTACATTGTTATCGCATGCACTTCCTCCAAAATAGAATAGAGTTTAGACTCAGAATAGTAGAAAATTGTTTTTGGTGCCTTTCTGAAAAATTGTCTGAAATTATTTTGTATTGCATCTTAACATTGTTGCTTATTATTTATACAAGTGTTATCGATTGCCATTAGTTTACATTTATTTACATGAATTGAGAACTACGGTGATGATTCCTTACTCAGTTGACCCGGTTTTTCTGGGTTCTGTGGGTCACAGGTCTCCATGGTGTCTATAGAGGTTGAGCCATCCAAGGTTCCCTCTGTAGTTCAGCCACATTGAGAGCTGTGTTCTTACAGAGAAAAACTGGAGGGTTGATTTAATAAATAGTTTTCAATCTGAGTTGTTCCAAGTCTAGAGAAATCACTTATCAGTCCATATTTGTCTGCCTGTCTTAGAGACAATCTCAAGTAAACTGCCAGACAGACACATGTTCTTTAAAACACTCTTATTTTTGAATCAAATCTCTTTAAATTTGTTCTTACCTCGTGACGTTTATCTCTCTGATTGTTGTAGACTCACTCGATTTGTTGTATCCAGCTCTGTCTGATTGTAATAGGCTAACTTGATGTGTTGTATCCAGCTCTGTCTGAATGTAGTAGCCTCACTTGATGTGTTGTATCTAGCTCTGTCTGATTGTTGTAGGCTCACCTAATCTGTTGTATCCAGCTCTGTCTGATTAAGGTTAGTGACATTCGTCGTCAGCTGAATGGGGACCATGACGACACAGTAATGGAGGACTCTAATCACACACAACAGGAACTGGAGGATAAGATGGAATCCCTCGTCACCAGAATGATTAAGTCAGAGATGGAGGACTTTGAACTGGTTTACATTTGTTAAACATTATCAATATCACATAAATAACTCAGAACTCTTTTAACATGTCAATCAATAGGTAGGTTAAAGCATCCTAAACTTTAAGCTGGAAGAATTTTGCATCTTAATTCACAAAGGGATCTGATAATTGTAGAAAAACAAATGGGTTTAACAATAAACATTATATGTATTGAATTGACTTGAAGTATATACATCTATATATTAATATCCTTGCCAAAATAAAGTGAAAAATTTTATGTTGACAGGACAAATCAGCTGACTATTCTCTAGCTAACAGTGTTGGGGTAAAAAATAACATATTCTCCATACTGGTTCTGGGCATTTATGAGTCGTTAATGGAGTACACATTCAACACTGGGCAATATAGGTAATTAGGAACAGTAAAAAAGTACCAAATCATAAATACTGACGAGTGTAGGTAGTTAGCAGCACTGGGTTGTGTTGTGTTTATAAACAATTTACAACACTGACCTGTACAAATACAGAATTGAGAGTCTATTATCAAATGTCAGATTTTTCTTCAAGAGTCAAATTTTTGATAGTTTATCTGCAAATTGAAAAATTAAGGATATGAAAATATTCCTAAGAAGTTCTGTTTTGCTTCCAAAAGTTAAAAAAAAAATCATTTTGATTGTAGCGAGTCTAGCTTGCAGCAGATTTTACATTTGTTTAAGAATTATAAGAAACTGAGTGAGGTGTTGAAAGAAAAAGCAACCTCTAGTGCTGGGAAGAAAGGAAAGCCTCCCACAGGAAACAAGATGCCCCTCAGCCTTCTGTCCATCAGGGGGACCACAGAGATCCTGAGGGCACTCATCAGGTAGGCAGGGTATCCCAATGTTATTGAATGGGCACATTGTTTTGAGACATTAATGGTGTAATGTTCTTACGACTTCACTTAAATATATTTTCCATGGTAAAAAAAAATATATATAGGGATAAACATAATTCCTTCTTCTTTCTGTAAACTGTTAAAATGAAAATTGAAAACATTTTTACTTTTAAAAGTATTATCGGTAAGTTTTCATTAAATCAATCTGTAGTACAATACATGTAATTTGTTCATGATGATTTCAGTGAAACTGCACCAAGTTTAGCAGAAAATCTGAAAATTTTGAGAGATGACATGGACTTCAGGAGACATATTGTCAATGTGGCTTTGCAGAAAATTCATCAGGTCCAGGAGAAAGGGGCATGTGATGGGGCAGAGGGTAGTGATAAATCCAAGATTCTCCAACATCTCATCTGTCTGGCCAAGTAAGAAACAAGAAAAATGTTAGTAAGGGAATCATTTACATGTAGGTTTACATGTATTTTCTTAAAACAATTTGCAGATTAAGCACAAGGAATATACATGGAAATGGTGTTTATACTGAACAGTATTCATGATTCCAATCATGAAATTTGAGTCTGATATTAATAGACTTCTTATGCTTGAATTAAACTTAGGCTGACAAATGTACCAGCTTACTCTCATCCATACTATCAATTCACCTTGGAAAAAAGATGCATTGAATTAGGCATTGACAGAGTTGAACTCCTGTTTCAGAATATTCATCACGTACTACACAGAAAATCAGCGGCCTGAGGAGGAGGGGAAGAGGGACAAGTCTAAATATATCAGTGGTCAGTGTCTAGAGGGACTGGTGGGGATAATGACCATTACATCCCAGCGTTACGCTGACCAGTTCTGTCACTGTCTCTGTGAGATGGGTAAATGGATTACACAATTTGATTGTAATATATACATATTCACATTCCTGATGCTGGAATGTTTTTTTTTAATTCGAATTTTTAAATGTTGTTACCGTTTTCATTAGTTCAGAACTGTATTGTTTTGTTGAAGTACACATGTAGATGCATACGAACTTGATTAATTTAAATTTCCATCTCTTATTGGTATTTAAATGTAAAGACTTGCACTGTATATGTACATGTACATTTACTTTATGAAAGTACTGTTTACAGGGATAATTTGTGAGTATTTAAATGTGTATGTGGCATTTTGTAGTGGATGCTGATGAATCGGAAGATCTCCAGGAAGTTATTTACAGTCATATTAAAAAGTACCAGGTAAATTTATTGCAATGAATGGTGTGGCTTTAAGTTAATTTGTATTTGTTGAAATACTTCTGAAATTCACATAAAGCATCTACACCACAAAAGAGTAGTACATGGTATATGTCCTATTACCTTCAGCCGTAAGATGATTTAATCATTTTCATATTTTTTCAGCGACTGGTTATGAACATTTTGAAATCAGAAAGTGAAGATAAGAACATGAAAGAGGTCCAGTTATTGCTGGGAATTATTCAGATTCTGTGTAAACAGCTGTACAGCTCAGGGAACCAGTTTGAGAAAGTCTTAGATTGGGTTCACAAAATCTGCACAGAGCAGAGTATTGGTGAGTTCAAGACTAGTCTACAATTATATATGTGTACATGTAAATTTATTTTCTGTGTGTGTTTATAACATATACTAATACAGTAAAACTTGTCTAATCCGGCAACCAGTGGTTCCAAAATTTTTGGCCGGATTAGACAACATCCGGATTGGAGAAAATTGAACCGTTTAGCAAGTTAAAAATTACATAGATATTAACAAAGAGTGGTAAATAAATACTTGATCAAATGTGTCATTTCTTATGTTTCATTTGAAAAAAATCGTCTATTTCTTTTGTTTTGAACTCTGTTTGTTCTTCAGAATTTTCATTTCTGTTTAAGTTTTTTTATTCAGTAATGGAATATAAAATATATCTCTTGGTCATTTATTAAATTAGAAAATCGTTTAATGTTTTAAACGCACTCCAAAACCTCATCCTAGCTGTAAATATTATTTTGTGAGGGACAGATTCCTTATTAATTTTTTTTTCTTTTAAAATTGATATGTTTGAATATTTAGACACTGTATTTGTGAATATCAAATGTTATAGTGAATATTGGACCAAAATCGTCTGTTGTTGTGGTCGTTGCAAACTAGCGACAAAAAGGGAAGTAATTCGAATTGCACGTCGTGCACGCAAAACGAAAGTAGAAAGGAGGTCATGAATAAGTCTCCAAATTTTTCTACAGACATGCTACACACAACCATCACTATCACTTGTTCTTTGTCAGTTTCCTCGCCTTACTTGAGCCATTAATGATTGTTTTTTCATCACCCTTGTTAAAATCTAAACTGCCGACACAGGATAGATCATTAACAGGACAATAATTACCCCATGCTAGACTTCTCTAATGACCAGCGGGCTCAGGTAAAAATAAGTGGCCGGATTAGAGGAGAAAATTTGTACTAATTATGAGCAGTTAGTTCTTTAAATAGCGGCCGGTTTACAGAATAGGCAAGATCCGGATTGAACAACATTTATTAAACATAAATTATAGAGAAAACTCTCGGGACTAAAATATTACGCTGGACTGAACAACATGCCGGAATGCACAACATCCGGATTCAACAAGTTTTACTGTATTTACAAAAAACAACTCTCTTTTCAGATGATATTCCTACCTGCAAACTTCTATTCTCCTTGTTGTTGGCCTTCACTCAGCAGGTTAAGAGTTGTCCACCTTTGTTAAGGGACCTTTCTCAAGATGTACACAGTCAGCTGGGGGATATAGACCAGGTGTGTTTTAGTATTAGGAACCTTTAGTAGATGTTGTTGATTGTAAAACAGGATTAACTCAGTTGGCACTGAAACAAAGCTTACTTAATATTGTTTGGGTCTTTTGTAAACATCCTTAATTATTTGTTAAAGGAGACTCAGGTAGAAGATAAGACCCACTTTTCTTTAGTGACGCACAGAACAGCGGCTCCTGTCCTTCTGAATTTAGTATTACAACAGGTGGAGAGGGAACTGGACGATACAGAGTGGGTGGTGGCTAGGCTCAGGGCAGAGACTGGACAGGCTAGCGGTCAGTTTGTGTGCTAATTTTGTGAATGAAAAGGACATAAACATGTACAAAGTACACATGTGCATGTATGAGTTTCAATTTCATGTAGTAGGACATAGAAATTATTTTTGAACCTCCCATTTTATTTTGGTTATGTGATAAGATTTGTCAATGAATTTTGAAAGAAGTAAAGATGTCTGCATAAAAAATATGAATCTCAAACTTGCTTAAACAATGTTATACTGTAACACGTACCTGTACCTGTAATCCTAGTTAATGAAACCTAATGTTATAGATCATTTTCAATGTATGTAGAGGTTATCTATTCTCAGTAGTCATTTATTAAGTTTGTATGTAGAGATTATCTACTCTCAGTAGTCATTTATTAAGTTTATTTGGCTCCAGATGAAGCAGAGATAGACTTGACCCAGAAGGAAGGTCACGAGAGAAGTATCTGTACCAGGTTAGGTATACTGGTCACTGCCTTCCATGAACTGGTCCAATCTGCCATACCTGTGGGTGTTTGTATGGAGAACATTGTCAAACAGGCTACTAGGCTGTATGGAACCCTCACCATAGTGGTCAAATATGTAAGCTGTTCTCTATTTATTTCTAACTGAACACAGATTGTAAAATTATCTTGAAATTCTAGTCTCAGACTGTTTAGCAGCAAATTTACGTCATTCTATAAACTGTTGAATTTGCTAAGAATCCTTATATTTTGTTCTCAGAAATTAAAATATTTTTTCTTTAACCAATATTTATTAAGCATATATTCCTGCATGCGTTGTACATGTAAACCATTTCTACTGTATCTAACCAGTATTATGAATAGTGGTGATTGCTTTGATTTAATTACAAAATTTTACACCAGTACAGTTATCAGGACTGTCTTGTCACTTTGGCAATATTGACAGAACTCAAGGGGGAAATATGCAAGAAATTAATCAAATAACAAGCACATGTTTGAGACTGTTCACTGCCTGATTTTGTTTTAAGGTTGTATTTTGTTATTTTTCAGTATCTGAATCTCTATCAGCTAAAGGCTGGTCATTTGTCATCCAGGTTTGAGAAGCTTGTCAAATTGATTGGTACCCACTTAACTCAGTACTGCTACGGAATGATCACATACATACAGGTACTCCTCCCCAGCAAATAACACTGCAAGTGGTATACAGTAATCACTTTGTATGTCTGTTTGTCAGTAAAATTGCATCTAGGTTCACATTTGAAGCTCATACATGGATTGTTAATGACCTTGAGGTGTGGTATGACCATGGACCATGACTCGGGTCAAGTTGGCTAGTTAACGTCACTTGTAGAAGTAAACTTGTCATGAAGACACATTTGTGTATACAATTTAATAATAATGTTGTTTATAACCAGATAATGTTTCCTGAGACTGATCCAAAGTTCTTGATGTGAGGTTAAGAATACAGGGAAAAATAAAGTGTAGTGAGGGGTATCATTTAGTGAGCTAGCCACATGTAGTAGTATTTCTTAGTTATTAAAGCTAAGAATTTTTCTTTCGTAAATTAAAGCATCTTTCTGAATTAATTGTAATACTAATGTAGGTTTCATTGTGGGTAAAGTATTTTTTGTTTAGGATGAGCATAGAAATCTTTGGATTTAACACCCAAAATAAAAGCTTCTGATTTCCTGTTCTTGGTTTATCATAACTTTAACAATAACCAAGTATCTTATATTTCTTAGCAAACAGAAAGTGAGCAGGTTCAACAGAATGTGGATAAAGGGAAAAAGGACAAGAAGAAGCAGGCAGCTGCTCTTAATGCTGGAAAGGTTTGACACATATTATTTTAACATTGTGTATCATAGTGCAGACTAAATACCAACATGCTGGTGTGGACATGTACAGGTTTACATCATGTATTATAGTTTAAATAAAAAGGACAAGAAGAAACAGGCAGCTGCTCATAATGCTTGAAAGGTTTGACACATATTATTTTAACATTATGTATCATAGTGCAGACTAAATACCAACATGCTGGTGTGGACATGTACAGGTTTACATCATGTATTATAGTTTAAATAAAAGGTACAAGAAGAAACAGGCAGCTGCTCTTAATGCTGGAAAGGTTTGATAAATACCTGTTTTACATCCTGTATCATAGTCCAGACTAAATACCAGCATGCTGGTGAGTATATTGGTACTTGTAACATATGAAATTAAATTCAATTTAATTAAATGAACTGATTTCAAATGAAACAAACCAAAAACATAAATAGAATAAAAGTGAGCTAAACAAAGTTGACTGAGAAAATCTAAGAAATCTTGAAGATCGATTGATTGTATGTTGTTTTACATCCCGTTCAAGAATTTTCATTCATATAGAGACATCACCATATACTGGTGAAGGGCTTCAAATTTAGACCTTTACTTGGCACTCAGGGCCATCAGACAGTGAGGGTTCTTTATTGTGCCAAAGCCTACCATGACACTGGGCCTCAATGACCCGCAACCTTCACTTCAAAATGCCAAGCGCTTGGCCAAGGAATAGTTGCTACCTATTTTTTATCGACTTGGGTCAGTAGTGGCCATGATTCGAACACACAACCTTCTGATCACGGAGCAAGTGCTCTAGAAATCTTGAGGAAATAGGCTTTTATTATAATCGTATGAATTCCAACAAGACTGAAATCAAAAGAAACTTTACTTTTTAATTATTATTCAACTATCAATGTTACAATGATGCATTTTCCCACAAAAAATTGTCAAGATATGAAAACCTTAAGGGAAAACCATCACTTGATGTACATGAATCAACCCATTGCCAATCTTGGTTTACATCTGGAAGAGAAATGATTTGATTCAAATGATTCATTGATTTAGGTTTAATTGTATGATATGACCAATACATGTATATAGGGTCTTTTTTTTTTTTTTTTTTTTTTTTTTACAGAATATGGGAAAAACTTGTCACAGCTTATTATTTTAATTACATATATCTAGGGCTGTCACGGTTCCAAAATTTTTCGGATCGGGTCGGTTCTGTAAATTTTCAGTTCGGTTTCGGGTTTTTCGGTTCGGTTATTTACATCTATTTTAAACCTTAATTTCATGAATTTAACTTGAAAATTTTTTATTTGTTATGTTAAATTTACATTGAAACAAGTCTTAACCATGCGAACGTCTAGACATCTGTGTTTAGAACTATTTGGTCTACTATTAGCCACAACCTGACCATTCCTTCTCGTTTTGGTAATTATCTAATACTTCCGTGAGAAGTGTTTTGTCATGGAATGAAGTAGATTTCAGTTGTGATGTTTATTTATCACTGTTATCGTCATCATTCCTTTGATTTCGACGCCATTTCTTGTATTAAACAGATCTAATATATAAACCAAACCCAAACCGAAATCCGAAAAAATGGAACCAAACTGAACAACTTGGACCACGGTTCTTGGTTATTTAGGGAACTCGTGACAGCCCTACAAATATCATTGATTATTGACATTATAGTGATATTATTCTTTTTTTTCTTGTGTACTTATTAGAAATGAGTTAAAACAGATTAGGTATAAATTGTAGATCTTTTTTTTTCCTCAGGCACGTGTGTTAAAGGAATCCAGACTTATTCCAAACCTCATTTTTTCCATAGAAACATTTGAAAAGTTCTTGATTCAGCTGTCAAAAAAGTCCAAGGTACTGCATTAGCTCTCCCATAAAATGGTTTTTAGAATTTAGATACAAAACCGGAAATGCTCTTAAAAAACTATAAACAATTTAAATTCTTTTATTATCCAATTTGAAGGTAATTTGAATGTTTTTATTATCCAATTTGAAGGTGAACCTGATGGAACATATGAAGATGAGCACATCCCGAGATTTCAGGATCAATGTGGCCACAATTCATGCTGTGATGGAAAACGATTCAGATTCACCAGAATCTGAGGAAGAGGAGGAAAATGATCAAAATGAAGAGGATCAGGAAAATGAAGAGGTATACTGCCCTACCTCCTCTCTTTCTCTTCAGATTCTTGACCACTTTTCTGACCCAAGATTATTTTCAAAGGTCATCTCCATGAAGCAAAAACCATGTAGTATCCATCAGACTACATATTTTAATTCAGTGATTGTATTTTTTTTTTCAGAACAGTTCTGAAGAGCAAGAAAACACTGCTCCGACCAATAAACGCTCTGCAGAGCCCTTGGATCCACCACCTGCAAAGAAATCCAAACTTGGAAAAAAGGCCAGAGCTGGCAAAGTGTAAATCTGTTTATCTTTGAACTTTGAAATTGTTAGTGAAAAGCATTTGTTAAGACTTGTTTGTTAGGTAGATTTGTGCCAAATATTATGTGAATATAATATGTATCTGTAAACACATTTACAATTAAATACTTGTAAATGAATATAATTATTAAATTCTTGTAAATGAATATAATTTTTACTGTATTTTATTGCAATTGTATTGCAGAGTCATAGGAAGCTTATTCCTGAGATATCAAAGTTGTGCAAAAGCAGAATCTGGTTACTGGACAACAAAGATCAATATTAATTACAAATATAATGATACACATGAATAATTTTTGAACTAAAGAAAACTGTTCTGAATCCAACATCAATATTTAAAGTGACTTTAATTGTTGTAGATAGTAAAGAGTAGGTGAGATAATAGTTTTGCATCAAGCTCCTGTGATGTGTTTTCTTCATGTCTCAAATGCTGGGCTTTGAAAATAAAAGATACTTTTGTTTACATCAATATCTATACTTACCTGCATAAACTTTTTGCATTTTCCTCGGGCTTCCTACCATCTTGCCTGAACTTTTGAGACCACTCCTGTGGTATCATACACTGTGTATGCCCATAATGTGCAAGCACTTCCGCTTGAGTTTTGTTCAGATCTTGGAAGAAAAAACCACATGTTTTTCTTCTGTGACTAAATTATTTCGGTAGCCTGCGATTAAGGATGTCTGAATCGTAAAATTTATGTCAGAAATGTAATAAAGAGATGACAGTATTAGACACAGAATGTTACAGACATGGCGTGTGTAATGAAGCGTTTCCTTTGTGAAGGTTGTAAAACTTTGACAGGAATAACGGACTAAATGAACAAAGTGATAAACACAAGAAATCTGAATCTGGTAAGAAATTGGCAACAGTGTCAAATCTAGCAACAGAAATTCTCTTTGTGGGGAATAACACTTGTTCTGATTCACAAGTTTCCTGAACTTACATCTGTGGGAAACGTAGCTGTATCAGAATCGCAACCTCTCTCGGTTGGGACTTGGGAGACAAAATGGCGGCCATTAGGCATAGGGTTTTTTTCCACCACAAATGGGTAATTTACCCCCTTTTTATGTTGGGGAATTTTGAAACTCAGTGGCAACAATATCAAGAAAATTTATTACGAAATTTAATAGTCACCAGAGTTAAAGATTAGTACATGGCGCAAATAAACAGTCTGAAAAACAGTCTGTTACACGTTCAGAGAGTAGGTCCACGAGGTTTGATAGATTTCGACCTTCAGATGATCAACACGAGAGAGAATCGGATGATGAAGATTTTGTAAGTCACAGGGGTGACAATAATCCAGTCGTGACCAATTCACTAAAAGACGATATTGTTGAAGTCCATGATGAGGACAATAAATCAGAGTTTGACAACTCTGCTGCAGGTTCTGTGCATACAGAAACTAACGATTCATGCACAGTAGACTGAAAGAATTTTGTTAAGAAGGTAACTTCAGAATTAAAAATAGATGCTGTGAATGCATCTGAAAATCAGGATTTCAAGTCTTATACGTCAGAACGCTTGATCATCTATCCCACGGCAATCTTTGCCCCTGGATGGGTACATAACTAATGTAGATGAGGAGTTCCAGCATAAAGGTGCAATACGTACTTATAAAGCTTCAGATGATGAGAAGTACAGAGTTGCGTCTGCAGATTTTGATTAGTATTTCACAACGCCACGACTTGATGACAACATTGAGGACAGTAGCTTCACAGCAGGAAGGAAAGGTAAGAAATATTCTTACCGTTTCCATAATCCAACGTTGCATTCTTGTACAAATGAGTTGTGGGAGACAGATCAGGAGTCTCGTCTTCTCCTGAGAGAGGACCTGTCATATTACCTCATATGTGGATAATGTAGTATCTGATGAGGACAAGACGGAGGCCCTTCAAGCACTGATGTAAGTCTTTAAGTCAATGGCTGATGTTACTTCACGTATCTTAGTGTGTGCAGTTGCGGCACGAAGATCCATTCACATTGAATTTCTGGCATTTAGAAACAAAGCAACTGAAAATAAGCTCCTTGTAGTCTATTCTTAATCCTTAACTTTTTTGTGGGAAGTATTTTGACATTCTTCACTCAAGTGCAGAGAGTTTACGGGATGCTAAAGAAACACAACACTTGAGAAGTTCAAAGCAGAGAGATGGTTCAAACACCAATTCTGGAAGAAAGAGAAGAGTCAACTGGCGCTTCAGAGCAGAAAGAACAGAATTCATCCATTGCAAGGAAGGGAAAGTTTTCCTCTAACAGAAATGCAAAGACTGCATGGCCTGGGAAGAGGATGAAAGTTGAATTCTCAAGTTTCTCTCGAAGGCCAAACTCGTAGCTCAGTCCAAGATCATTTGGGGTTTTGTCTCCAGAAGTAAGCTTCAAAGTTCAACTAGAACCAAAAAATTAGCCAAAGTATGCTGTCAAATCATTTTTACCACAAAGAGTGGATGAAAATTATATCCGACGATGGGTTTTAAAAATAGTCCAGAAAGGACTCGAACTTGTATTCTTAAAACATTCTCCAGAGACAGGACTAAGAATCATAAATGTACAAAATGTTGCTCAAAAACAATGTATTTTAGAAGAAATAGAAAGTTTATTACTAGTATTAGAAAAGCATGCCAAAAGACTGTTCCCAAGGCCCAGGAAGGTCAGGAGATTTACAACAGCTTTTTTGCAGTTCCAAACCAAGACGGAGGGTACCGTTCAATTCTCAATTTGAAACTGTTAAATGTTTTTTTCTCCAGAATCAGCATTTCAAAATGGATTCTCTAAAGTCAAAAATACAGGCTTTGAATATAGGAGATTTGGTTGCATCAATAGACCTAAAGGATGCATTTCTACTCGTTCCAATTTAAAATACCTCAGATTTTGCATAGACAACAATCATCATCAATTCCAGTCAATGCCGTTTGGTCTAGCAACAGCTCCAAGAGTGTTCACGAAACTGGGAGCTATAGGAGAGCATCTGAGAAATCAACAGATTTTCATTTACATGTACAGTATTGTGCCATATATTTATGAACAAACGTAAAAATAGCGCTACGATTTTGAAACAATCATTAAAAAGATACAAAATTTCTAGCAATTACACAATCATACCATACAAGTGTCTTACTTCTATAGATAGCTAACAATATCCACTATCGATCAATGACGTCAATTGTAAAATATGACGTCAGCTGAAAACGAAAAGGTGAATGTAAACATGGGGAAATGCAAAGAATTTTCTACCCCTGTGAAACAAATGATTGTTGACAAATATCTGTCAGGACAAAAATATGCAGCTATAGGCCGTGAGTTGAAAATTCCTCGGAACAGTGTGTATCCAGTTGTCCATCGCTATTTTGCTAGAGGTTCGGTGGAAAAGGCCTCAAGAACTGGCAGAAAACGAAAAATGGACGACCGTAAAACTAGGAAACTTTTAAGGAGTTGTAAAAACTAAACGCACTGTTCCGTTAGCTGGCATTACCGATATTATCAATCAGGGCAGGCATTCTCCTGTTTCACAGAGAACAGTCAAGAGACGATTGTATGAAAATAATTTTCATAGGAGGATCGTAAGAAAGAAGATCCGTATTCGTGACGAGAACCAGAAAAAACGTGTGCCATGGGCAGGAGGAAAGAGATTGTGGAGAGTTGAAGGAGAATGGGATAGAGTGATATTTACCGATGAATGTAAGGTAATAATAGGAGAAAGCAATGTATGTATGGAGACCACCGGATGAAGAATGGATGCCCGAATGTTTATGTCCTGGTCCGCCTGTCAAAGTAAGTTTGATGATCTGGGCCTGCATAACTTGGAATGGTGTGGGGACAATTTGTGTAGTAGATGGTAATATCAATGTACAAAAATACATAGACATACTTGATTCAGAACTTTGTCCCGTTGTAGCCCGGCATTTTCCAACAGACAATTTTATTTACCAAGATGACAATGCGCCCGTTCATCGGGTCCGGATTGTTACTGAATTTAAGCAGAGATATGCCATCAACTCGATGACATGGCCAGCACAATCACCCGATTGTAATATAATAGAAAACTGTTGGTTGTTATTGAAAAATAAATTGAGGCAACGAATCTTAAGTACAAACAATGCTTCTGACCTGGAACGTGAAATATCCGCCATATTTGGACAGCCATCCCAACAACCTACATACAAAACTTGTATCGTTCAATTCCAAGATGACTGCTTAAAGAAGTCCGTGCCAAGGGCAATATTAAGGAAGAGATTGCAAGGGTACATGAAAAAAATCCGCTCTATGAATTTTTCTCATTTTTACATATAATTTGCCTTACGTTAATGGTATCATAATATGAAAATTTCAACCATGGTCATCAGGGTTATAAGGAAGATATGGTTGCCGTTTTTAGCTCACCTGAGCTGAAAGCTCAAGTGAGCTTTTCTGATCACCAGTTGTCCGTCGTCCGTCCGTCCGTCCGTCTGTCTGTCCGTCCGTCTGTAAACTTTTCACATTTTCAACTTCTTCTCAAGAACTACTGAGCCAATTTTAACCAAATTTGGTACAAAGCATCCTTGAGTGAAGGAGAGTTTAAATTGTTAAAATAAAGGGCCAAACCCCCTTACAAGGGGAGATAATCAAGAAAAGACAAAAATAGGGTGGGGTCATTAAAAAATCTTCTTCTCAAGAACCACTGGGCCAGAAAAGCTGAAACTTATGTGGAAGCATCCTGGGGTAGTGTAGATTCTAAATTGTAAAAATCATGACCCCCGGGGGAAGGGCGGGGCCACAATAGGGAATACAAGTTTTACATTGAAATATACAGATAAAAATCTTTTAAAATCTTCTTCTCAAGAACCAGTGGGCCAGAAAAGCTGAAACTTATGTTGAAGCATCCTGGGGTAGTGTAGATTTTAAATTGTTAAAATCATGACCCCCGGGGAAAGGGCGGGACCACAATAGGGAATCCAATTTTACATTGAAATACATAGAAAAAATCTTTAAAAATCTTCTTCTCAAGAACCACTTGGCCAGACAAACTGAAACTTATGTGGAAGCATGCTGGGGTAGTGTAAATTCTAAATTGTTAAAATCATGACCCGGGGGAAGGGCGGGGCCACAAT